CCGCGGCCGCCGCGGCCTCGAGGCGCACCTCGTCCACCGCCACGTCCGCCGGGAGCGCCACGTCCGCCACCGCGTCCGCCTGAGAAGTGGTCCGATGGTAGGTCGGGGCGAGACAGGGGGGGAGTGCGTAGGGTCAGCAGACGATCGCGAGCGGCAGCAGTCCTGCAGAGCGCAGCCAAGAGCCCAGTGGCCAGGGAGGGTCGGCCTCTCTGTACCATGGACCGAGGTGGTCCATGATCCAGGAAGCGACCTGAAGAGGGTTGGTCCCCAATGCCGGTTCGAAGAAGAGGACAGAGTCGAGCGCTACTCACCACCACGGCCGCCGCGGTCACCGCCGAAGCCACCACGTCCTCCGCCACGTCCGCCGCCGCGGCCACCTCGGTCACCGCCGAAGCCGCCGCGACCGCCACCACGTCCGCCACCGCCGAAGCCGCCACGTCCTCCACCACGGTCGCCTGTGTGTGTAAGAGAGAGAGAGAGAGAGAAAGGAGGGGGGGGGCAGCTGAGGGTAAGCAGGATGGTTCCCAAAGCCTGCGATCCAGCCAGCATAGCCACTCACCGAAGCCCATGGTTGCTATTTGAGAAGGGTTGAAGAAGGGAGAAGAGGGAGGCCGAAGTTGCCCCTGGTCGTCGAGAGGGATACGCCTGGGAAGCTGAGGCGGGAGGTAACGCGCAATATATGCGACCGATGCCGGAGAGGAAGAGGGATATAAGCAGGGTACCTTGCCGGTGAGGGGAAGCCGAGGCGATAGGGAGAAGGGGTGAGGATGGAGCAAGAGGCAGGCGTGCGAAGTCGACGGGTCGAGGTTAGGCCCGCTCGCAGCTGCCTGCGTCTGCTGCGCCCAGGCTGGCTGGCTTCCTTGGCTGGCTGGCTGGCTGGCTGGCTGGCTGGCTGGCTGGGAACTGGAGATTCTGGCCAGGCGGCGGCAGACAAGGCTTGGGTGGATGCAAGCCCAGCGGCAGGCAAGCCAGGCCGGCCAGCCTGCCCGCCCGCGAAATTTTTTTCAAGCCTGCTCGGGATTTTTTCCTTCTCGCCCCCCCGCCACCCGCCCGCCTGCCTGTCTGCCTGTCTGCCGGCCTTCGCATCCGCATCCGCAACCCGAGCCCGCGGCTGTCCAAGCCCTAATTCCCGTCCTGGCAGGCGATCACAACTCGGATGCGAGCGACGCATCTGGCTTTGTCCCCGATTGATACCTGGACAGATCGGGACGGGCGCGCGACGCGTTCAAAGGTCAAGCCTGGCCCAAGGGGCCGAGAGCCAAGCGGCCTGGCGCCAGACCAACACCTCCGTTTGACTGCACCCCACCGCTGCTGCCGCCGCTCTTATCGCCACCGCACCACGACCACAGCTGGCATTGGGCCACGACGACATCATCGACGACTGCCGCACAGAAGACACAAAGACTTTCCGCCGCTCCTTGTTGCGAAGCTCCATCCTCTCGCCGTTCATTCAGCAGGACTGCGACATACCCGCCGAGCGACCGACGAACGTACCATCCTCTCCGGCAGCAGCGAAACCGCCGAATACTGCCCAGCTCGGAGCGCTTCCTTGTCGACGCCTCGGCGACTTGATACCCAGTCCCTCCTCGACAGACTCATCAAGCGACCGGAAAGGCCCAGTTCAGCATGCCCAGGGAGCTCATCACATTACAAGCGGGCCAGTGCGGGTAAGTGCGGTGCGGCCCGATCTGTACACCCGCCCGCAGACGGCCCACATCTCTGACTTCTGCTGCTTCTTCCTTGCACCCTCTCGCATCCCACGCCACCTCTGCAGCAACCAGATCGGCTCGCACTTCTGGGAGCACCTCTGCAAGGAACACGGCATCGCAAAGGATGGCACGCTCGAGGACTATGCGTCCGAGGGCATGGGCGGCGACCGCAAGGATGTCTTTTTCTACCAGGCCGATGACGAGCACTACATCCCAAGAGCCATCCTGGTCGACCTCGAGCCACGGGTGAGCACAAGCAGAGGCGCACCGGTGTGGATGCGATGCCGTGCTGCTCTGGGCGTCCCCCTCGCTGACACTTTGCTGAGCGGCTCTTCCCGCCCACGACGCGACGGCAACCCCAGGTCATCAACAACATCCTGTCCGGGCCCTACAAGAATCTATACAACCCCGAGAACATCTATCAGAGCAAGACGGGAGGCGGTGCGGGAAACAACTGGGCGCAGGGTTATGGCGCCGGAGAGAAGATCGCAGACGAGCTCATCGAGATGGTCGACCGCGAGGCCGACGGCAGCGACAGCCTCGAGGTGAGCACCGCGCGCGTTGCAAGAGGGTGCAGCCGGCCGGCACACCACGACCAAGATCGACTGACGGCCTTCTTGCCCCTCTGCTTGCGACGCCGCAGGGTTTCATGATGATGCACTCGATCGCTGGCGGCACGGGATCTGGGTTGGGCTCGTTCCTGCTGGAGCGGCTCAACGATGCCTACCCAAAGAAGCTGATCCAGACGTACAGCGTGTTTCCCAACTCGGAAGAGACGTCGGACGTCGTGGTGCAGCCGTACAACTCGGTGCTGACCATGAAGCGGCTGGTCAACAACGCCGACAGCTGCGTCGTGCTCGACAATGCCGCGCTCAGCCGCATCGCGGCCGACCGCCTGCACCTGCAAAACCCGAGCTACAGGTACGTGTTGCGCCGTCGCCGCCGGAGGGGGATCGAGTGTGATGGTCGTTGCCGGGCAAGGGACCGCCGTGCTGACGCTTGACTGGTAACTTTGCCCGCCTTTGCGACGCCGCAGCCAAACCAACCAGCTGGTCAGCACCGTGATGGGCGCGTCGACGACGACGCTGCGGTTCCCGGGCTACATGAACAACGACCTGGTCGGCATGATTGCGTCGCTGATCCCGACGCCGCGGGCCCACTTCCTGATGACGTCGTACACGCCCTTCACGTCGGACAATGTGGACCGGGGCAAGGCGACGATGAAGACGACGGTACTCGACGTGATGCGGCGGCTGCTGCAGCCCAAGAACCGGATGGTCAGCACGCAGGGGGCGTCCAAGTCGAGCTGCTACATTTCCATCCTCAACATTATCCAGGGCGACGTGGATCCGCGCGACGTGCACAAGTCGCTGCTGCGCATCCGGGAGCGGCACCTTGCCAGCTTTATCCCGTGGGGGCCGGCGTCGATCCAGGTGGCGCTGTCGAAGCGGTCGCCGTACGTGCCGTCCTCGCACCGGGTGAGCGGGCTGATGCTGGCCAACAACACGGGGATCGCGCACCTGTTCAAGCGGATGGTGGACCAGTACGACCGGCTGCGGAAGCGCAACGCGTTCCTCGACATGTACAAGCGCGAGCCGATGTTCGCAAACGACCTGAGCGAGTTTGACGAGGCAAGAGAGACGGTGCAGGAGCTCATGACCGAGTACAAGGCCGCCGAGTCGCCCGACTACATTTCGGGCGGCGTCGACGACGTCTAGCCGGCCACGGCGGCGCTCGTCCTGGTCGCCGCTCCTGCCGCTCCTGCTGCTGCTGTCGCTGCTGACGCTGTTGCCGCTGCTCGTCTGTTCTCGTCTTGTGCCTGTAATTGTATCGCTCTCGTGCACCCATCCCTTCATCGAAGTCACCGTCTGCTGGTTGGTTTGAATTGGCCGGGCCTGAGGCTTGCACTGGCAGGGGTCAAGCTGCGGACGACAACTCGGGTCTCGGGTCGCGTGCTGGGGTCAGGGCTGCCGTTGGCCCAGGCAGGGTGCTGGCCCGGGCTGCAGGCGCAGAGGGGGCGCCTGTTGGACGTCGCGACCTCGCCTCGCCTTCCCTCCACCACCTTCGCCGCATCTTCGCGTCTCGTTGTTGCCGCCGCCGCCGCCCACCACGGATGCAAGACAGCGCTAGCCCTCCTTCCTCTCCTCTGCACCTCGTACGGCCCCGCACACGCTCCTTGCTGTCCTCAAGAAACGGCCACCTGCCTCGCCAAGACGGGTTGTCCAGGCAGACTGACAAGCCCTAGGCACTCGCCAACACCGCCGCTCCCTTCAGCATGGCACCCTCCACCAAGCCATCCGCTTCCGCCAGCACCACCGCCGCCGCTACCAACAACGCGCAAACAGGCGGTGCCGCAAATGGATCAGCTGCGCCGCCAAACGCCAACGGCTCCACCGGCGGCCTGGGTCTCTCGGCCTCGTCGTCGTCGACCCCCCTCGGCCTCCCCTTTGCCGGCGCCCCGACCTCAGTCTACCCGACCGACACTGTTCGCGATGTGGCCGAGTCTCTGGGCATCGCCAACTTCAAGGATAACGTAGCCGCTGCTCTCGCTGCCGACGTCGAGTACCGCATCCGCGAGATTGTCCAGGATGCGACCAAGTTCATGCGCCACTCGAAGCGTGATCAGCTCAAGACGTCAGACATTGACGCAGCCCTCCGCGGCCGCAACATCGAGCCGCTGTACGGCTTTCTCCCATCTTCGGCAGGCAGGCTCGCCACCTCGAGGTACACCGCCGGCCCTTCGTTCCGCAAGGTTCAGACCGCCTCGGGTGTCCCGCTGCACTACGTCGAGGACGAGGAGATCGACTTTGACAAGATCCTCGAGGCCGGTCCGAGGATCGGCGTGGGCAAGGGCGTGGGCTGGGGCGCACATTGGCTTGCAATCGAGGGCGTCCAGCCCGCGCTGCCGCAGAACCCTTCGCCAGCCGACCTGGCAGAGGTTGTGGGCCCCGTCGGGTTCGCGGGACCCGTCGCAGCTCAGACAACGGCAGCAGCACCCGCGGCCAAAGCGGTGGCAGTGGCCGGTACCGGTGCGGGCGACGCGCAGGCAGTCGCCAAGCCGCTCGTCAAGCACATTCTCTCACGAGAGCTGCAGCTCTACTACGAGCGCCTCACCAAGGCCATCGTTTCGCCCCCGCCAGAGGCCGACGAAGACTTCGACGACGCCGACGACGACAACGACAACGTAGACGACAGGGCAGGCGTCGCCAGTGGCAAAGGAACGGACGATATGGACATCGACGACGAGGAGCAAAAGGGCATCGTCACGCCGCCCCGGCCGGGCGCCGCGCCCGCGCTGCCGCTCAAGACGTTCGAGAAGAAGGGCTCCGGCAATCGCGTGCGCGACGCGGCGCTGGCCAGCCTGCGCGGCGACCCGGGTCTGCACCAGCTGGTGCCATACCTCGTCCAGTTTGTCGGGGGCAAGGTCATCGAGATCCTTCGCGGCGGTGCTGGGCAAGTCGACGGTGCCGAACTGGACCGCCTCCACGGCGGCGAGGGGAGGGAGATCTCGACGGCCGACAACCACATGCTCAGCGTCATGCTCAGCACCGTCCACGCCGTCCTGGTCAACCCGCATATCTTTGTCGAGCCTTATGTGAGTGTGCCCGCAGAGCCGCTGTGCGGTAGAGCCGACCAAACATCCACCTTCACTGCCAGAGTCCATGGTCGCTTACCCTACACCGCCTCCTCCAATGTGCAACCCTTGCCTCCGCCTGCAGCTTCACCAAATGATGCCATCGATCCTGTCGATCCTGCTGACGACATCGCTGGCGGAGCCCGGTCTCGACGCGCAATCGACGCACGAGATCGACAACCCGCTCATCACGGCGGGGCCCTCGTCTTACTCGCTGCGCGCCTATGCCTCGGCGCTGCTGGCGCACATTGTCGAAAAGCACGGGCCGTCGTACCCCTCGCTCAAGCCGCGCATCGTGACGACGCTGCTCAAGGCGCTACTCGCCGGAGCGCTGCCCGACGCCGGGCCGACGACGGCGTCGACGCAGACCAGCAGCGTCAACGGAGGCGACCCGCATCACCGAGGCCGAAGCGCCAGCCGCGCTCTGTCCGCGGACCGCACCGGTGCAGGCAGACCTGGACCGCGTCCCGAGCCGGGCACCAAGGTGGGCGCGATCATGGGTCTGCGGAGGCTGGGCAAGGCGAGCTTCAAGGTGCTGCTGCAAGGCTCGTTGGCGATCGGCAAGGGCGAGGGACAGGGACAGGGAGAGGACGAGAGCGAGCCAAAGTGCCCCCTCTTCCTGCTCGGTGGGTGGATGCAGGCGTGGGAAGAGGGGGATCACAACAACGGCGCCCTTTCCGGCAGCGATGCGCATGGAGATGGTGACGACGAGGGACGAAGGAAGTCGAGGCAGACGAGGGAGAGGCAGCTGCGGCCCATCTTGAGGGAGATCACTGTGAGTCCATCGCCGCGCTGCGGTATCGGGAGCCTTGCGCGCCGGCGCACTGACCCTTGCTTGAACCCTCGTGCTGCGCGCCTGAATCTTCGATCATCAGGGAGGTCTACACGCCCTGCTCCCGCCCTTTGTCCCGACAACGACCGAGGTGACGGGCACCGACGAGGAGCGCACGGCCGCTCTGCAGAGGGCGTACGGCGCCTACTGGATGGACCGGGTGATTGCGCGCGACGGCAGGGCGAGGATCGCGCTCGAGATCGAAGCCGGTCTGCGCGGGACGGCCCTCGAGGACTTGGCCTCGGCCAAGCGGGATCGGGATCGAGGCGGTGAGGTCAAGACCGAGTCCAAGTCCGGATAGCGTCCCCCTCCCCCCTTGCCCCCCCCCCTCTTTCTCTCTCTCTGACGACGGGGCGGAGGGGGCGTTTTGTATTTCTAGCTTTGTTCCTGACGAGGCGACGCGAGGCGGGGCATGGTGTCGATGCCGTTTCACAGCAGCATCCCGAGACGACGGACGGGCCGCACGCTTCTGCGCTGCAGATGTGGCGTGCTGCGTCCAAGGGTATCGTTGTCAGTGTGTAGAGTGTCGCTGCAGCAGTTCGACTTTGTCGTCCCTGACCAGAGGCGAGCAGACAGGCAATGACGGCCGCAAAAGCCGAAAAGATGCTGCAAAAGCTTGCCGATGGCGATGGATGTAGATCGAGGTAAGAATACACGGGGGAACAGGGCGCTCTTGGACGGTAGTGTGACCGATTGCGATGAGCCTTGGTGAGGACAGGAGTAAGACGAGGCAGATGGGAAGGGGCGAGGTGATCACCGCTTGGACTGTGTCGCCGCCTCTGTAGCGCGCAAGCGAGGGGAGAGACACGGCGGTAGATCATGGTCAGTCGATGACCTCTTCTGGTTCGCCAGGCCTAAACGCAGCCTGAAGCTCGGGAGGAACCGGGCGGAGGTGAGGGGACAGACGTACCTCTTCGCGTGGCGTCCTCGAGGAGCTGCGTGTCGACAGCTGCGGCGGGGATGTGGACGTACCGCACCACTGATCCGCGGATGAATGCGGACTTGACTGCTGCCTGGATGTTGCGGAACATCGACCAAGGAGTGGGGTGGGTCGAAGCGTCAGCGGCCGGAGGCGAGGCGAGGCGAGGCGAGGGAGGTGAGCGCGGTCCGGTTGGGCACCTACCATGTGCGGGTACCTCGCCTCGTCGAGGACGCGGATGTTGTCAATCTTGAAGTTGAGGAACTGGTCGACGCTCTTGAGGGTACCCTGGATTGCCAGGTCGTTTTTGAGCTCGATTGTCACCTGCTGGCCCGTGAGGGTCTTGAACGCCGAGAAGATGAGCTGCGCCGCGCGAGGAGGGAGCGACGTCGGTGTCGGTTGTTAGCATGGACGACGTTGTGAAGCGGATCCGATGACATCTCGAACGCTACTCACCATCTTGTGGAGTGCGGGCGCTGTGCGAGAGGGTGAGCGGGTTGATGGTGGTGGTGATGGTGGTGATGGGCGAGTGTCGAGGTGGAGTCGTCGGAAGTGGGCGGCGCCGGCATCACGTGGAGCGACTGGAAGCTGGGCCCCTCTGGCCCATGCATTTGAGCTTCTTCTCTCTGGCTGAGTTGGCTGGCTGGCTGGCTGGCCGGGAAAAGCCAGTCCGAACCCAAGGCACACTCGACCCTCTCCAGGCACCTCCTTCTCCTCGACCCTTAACCCTCACTGACCCACCCTTACTACCCTAGGTTCCCCTCCGCCTCTCGACCCCTTCCACGTCTCTGTCTCCCTCCACCCTCCCTTGCGCCCCGCCATCATGACCGAGCAGGTGACGCAAAAGATGGCCGACTCGTCGCTCGAGGCCACCGTGGATGCGGCCACCGAGCAAAAAGTCACGCCCTGGGACGTCGAGGGCGCCACCGTCAACGGCCAGCAGGTCGCCATCGACTACGACAAGCTCATCAAGGAGTTTGGAACGAGGCAGATCGACCAGCAGCTCCTCGACCGCTTCGAGAGCGTCACGGGCTGGAAGCCCCACCCGCTCCTCCGCCGCGGCGCCTTTTTCAGCCACCGCGAGCTCGACGTCATCCTCACCCGCTACGAGCAGGGAAAGCCCTTCTACCTCTATACCGGCCGCGGACCCAGCTCCGACTCGATGCATCTCGGCCACCTCATCCCCTTCCTCTTTACAAAGTGGCTCCAGGACGTCTTTGACTGCCCCCTCGTCGTACAGCTCACCGACGACGAAAAGTTCCTCTTCAAGCCTGCACTCAAGCTCGAGCAGGTCAAGCAGTTCTCGTTTACCAACGCCCGCGACATCATTGCCTGCGGCTTCAACCTCGAAAAGACCTTCATCTTCTCCAACCTCGACTACGTCGGCGGCGCCTTTTACGCCAACGTCGTCCGCATCTCGAGGCTCATCACCATCAACCAGTCCAAGGGCACCTTTGGTTTCAACGACAGGTGCGTGCAGACGAGGCGAGAAGAGGTGGACGAGGTGGAAGGAAAGACTGGCCTGGCCGATTGACCCTTCACCCTTGCTGAACCCCCGTTCTGGTCTCATATCCTCGCCCCTCCCCCTCCCCCTCGACGCCCCGCCGGCACCCGCAGCGACAGCGTCGGCAAGGTCCACTTTGTCTCGATCCAGGCCGCACCGTCGTTTTCCAACTCGTTCCCGCAGATATTCGGCGACAAGCACGACATCCCCTGCCTGATTCCGTGCGCCATCGACCAGGACCCCTACTTCCGGCAGACGCGCGACGTGGCCGCGCGCCTAAAGTACCCCAAGCCGTGCCTGATCCACTCCAAGTTCTTCCCGGCGCTCCAGGGCAGCCAGACCAAGATGAGCGCCAGCCAGGAAAACAGCGGCATCTTCATGCACGACACGCCCAACCAGATCAAGAACAAGATCAACAAGCACGCCTTTAGCGGCGGGCAGGAGACGGCAGAGGAGCAGCGCAAGCTCGGCGGCAACCCGGACGTCGACGTGGCGTTCCAGTACCTCACCTTCTTCCTCGACGACGACGAGGAGCTCAAGCAGATCGAGCGCGTGAGTTGCCGGTCGGCGACGACGAGCAGGGGTGGCGCTTGACAGAGTCTCGTGGTTTGCTCAGCGTGTTCCGTAACCTTTTTCTTCTTGGCCACGCGTTCAGGACTACCGCTCGGGCGCCCTCTTGACCGGAGAGCTCAAGAAGCGCTGCATCACGGTGCTTCAGAAGGTGGTCGGCAACTTCCAGGAGGTGCGTTACTCCTCGCTTACCGCTGGCCGTCATTCGCCTCGTTCCGAGAAGGGCCGAGCGCTGACCCCTCCGTCTCCTCCGTCTCCATCTGCCCTTGTGTCCCTGTGCCCCTCGACGTGCCCGCCCTGCAGCGAAAGGCAAAGGTGACGGACGACGTGGTGCGCCAGTTTATGGACGGGACGAGGAAGATTGACCCCGCCGTCCCGCCGGCCAAGTCGACGGTGCACAAGCAGCAGCAGACGGCCCAGGAGACGACGGTCTCTTCGACCCAGGCATAGACGGCGTGGCGATTCCGGCCGCCACCTTTGCCTTCTTTCCGACCCTTGGCCGTCATGGGCTCTTGCGTTTCGGGCAGCTGTGGTACCGGGCCACTTGACCTGAGGTTCCGGCAGAAGATTGTCCTTGGAGAGCGAGGAGCTGCGATGCGCCATCGCCTAGAACAGAAATCGAGATGGGCTCAGAGGGCGGACGTGATGGTCTGCATCGCTGTGCGCCGTGGAGAGAGGTTATCCTCAGGCGTGACGGCGACGTTGCTGGAGCTGTGTGCGATATCGAAGCGTCGAAAGAAGAGAAGGGATGCGTGGCGGCGCGGTGGTGGCGGCGAGCGGGGATGAGGCTACGGCGGCTATACCCTCGGCACGACTCGGAACCGCTTCGCACCCCGGCGCACCGCACCGCGCCGCATCGCACTGTTCCGTTTCGTCACGAGAGCGTCTTCGACGACGCCAAGAGCCAGGCACTCACATACGGCAGGTTTCTCTCTCCATACCTGCCTTGGCACGTCCCGACCACCGTACACGGAGAGAAGGAGCTGCAAAGATCGGGGAGTGAATGATCCAACCATTGTCTGCGAGTGACAGAGAGCCAGAAAGAAGGATGGGACGAGCCTCGCGATCTTCGGCTACCGCCCCGCCCCGTCATGTTTGTGGCGCCGAGACCGTCACCATGTGTGGCGCCGCCGCCACCGTCGCCGTCGTCTTTGTCGTGTTCGGTGTCAGAGGGCGACGGCGTTGGGTTGGTATGACGAGGTGGCGGGCGCTACGAGCACGAGCGAGACGTCTGATCGGCCCCACCAGGAGCGCATGCAGCTTTCATCGGGCTCGTTGGATCACTCATCGGCCTGGCCAGGTCTGCCTGACCTCAGATCCTCGTGTAGATAGAGTTCTCACCTGCCTGGCCTAGCCTGCCATCGGCCGTCCCGCCTCTGTACAGACGGTTGGCTGGTACGGCATCTACGGAAAGCAGCACCCAGTCCTGCCTCTGCCAGCGCGACCCATGCGCGAGGTGACAAAATGTACGTATGACCGAGCAAGCGCAGCGTACTCGGCATGGCGTGGTCGACAGCGCAGCGTAGCCAGCATCTTTCCACTCGAGTCTAGACGTACTGGAGGTCCAGAGGCCACGCCGCAACATCGGCCGGGCGGGCCGCCCATCATGCATCTGTGCTGATTTCCCTGCTGCCCTGGTCGCCCGCCCGCCCGCGCTGCCTGCTTGATCGATAGGAGACTTTTGATTCGTAGATCAACAGATTCCGGGTCGATGCTCGCCCTCCTCCGCTCTCTCTCTGTCGCGTGGGCCAACGACGGCGTGGACGGCGAAACGACGTCGACCGACCTAGCCTTTGTCTCCATGCGCATCTAACCCCCCGTCTCTCGTCTGGCTGGCCAGGCCCTTGACATGTTGACCGCAAGTTCCGTTGGGTTAGGGCGGGTGGACGCACCGGCGGCGGATCTCTCTTCAGCTTCTGATCTAATCTGCGGGGCGTTGGTCGACCCACCCGCCACCTGGCCCGCACGTCTCTCACGCGACCGCACCCACGTAAGGAGCGCAGCGCTGGCCTGACCAGGCCCGGCCTGGGCTGGCCCAATCAGGTGCGATCCTTTATCTGTGCATCCCGCCGTCCCCGGCGAGCCTCGAGATCTGTGCGAGATGCCGGCGTGCGACTACTACTCTGTCCCCGGCCTCGAGCCACGACCACGACCGACCACGACCACGACCCCTCCACGCGCCCTGCCTTGACTACCCCCCAGCCGATCCTGATGTCGATGGTCGTGTGCAGGTCCCTCCTGCCAGCCCGTACGGGTAGCGCCGGTTCCTGGTCGACAATATTACACCGCGTCCCATTCACGCTTCGAATCCCGGTCATCCTCGACCCGCACTGATCTGCGTCCACCTCCGTATGCTCTGTGCCTGTATGTACGTACAGTACAGTACATACGTACCTACCCTCCATCTGAGCTGATTTCGCTGGCAGGTGCGCACACAAAGGCTGCAGCAGCTGGGCGAGTGCGCCCCACTTCCTGTACCTGCACGCGTGTGTACCGGTAGGTGTGGCTTCGACGGATGGGTCCGTGTCCGCGCGCGCCGATACGGTACCGCTCTCTGTTCACATCACAGCGGCAAAGGCGGCCCACGGAGCTTGATTAGGACTACGGTACCTCTCGCGTGCCGCGAGCCGTCTCGGATAGATCATGGGTGCGATGCCAGGCCAGGCGGCTGGCTGCGCGGGTCCCCGAACGCAGCGCGTCGATAGGTCCACCCGCCCTGCCTGCCCTGCTCCGCGGGCCAAGCGAGAAAGAGACTCTGGAACGCGAGATGTTGAGAGTAGCGTGTCACCTAGGGCCTCTTGGACTCTTAGACTGGAATCACGGCAACAACTGGCGCGGCCATTTTGCACCACGGCAACGGCAACGGCCGGGCCAGACTTGCGGTTAGGTCTGCAACGTCGTGAGAGCGTGGAGAGCTTCTAGACGACGAACGCGCGACCGAGGGGAAAGCAGAGCTTTGTCTTGCGCACAGCGGGAGTTGGCGGGCAACGCCGCCGATGTTCGCTCCCGAGGCGACCTTGGACGCACGCTTGTGACTGACTTGACAGCAGCGCCACCGACCGGGGTGACGGCGAGTCTCACTCATGTAGCGCCTGAAGCCCGAGGAGACGGAGTCGATCTAGGCACCTGCCGGTGCCGGCACGCCGACATGCTACAGACTAGATGGAGAGAGTTCCCGTTGCGAGCATCGCAGCTTCATGGCCATCGTCAGCGGACAGCGGGACGGTCCCAGAGACACCATTCGCTGCCCGTCATAACCTCTGACCGTGGGAAGGACGGCCTCACCTCGACATATGGGCTACGGATCCAACCGAGTGGCCGAAATGGCAGCGGACAATCAAGAATGAATGATGGCACGTGCCTAAAATAGGCACACACACCCCGGCGACCTGCCATCGACGGTGCGCTCGTTGCCCGGGTCGAGTGGTCGACCAGGGAGCGCCCTCGCGACGATTCTACGTCGGCGAACATCGTACCGGTGTTGAACCGCCGCACTCTTCCAAGCAGTCAAGGCTTTCGAGTGGTGCGATCTCCACGGAGGGACAGTCGTGACCGCATCAACGGGGCGATGCCACTTCGAGGCCGCAGTACCCATGCCGCAAGCGTGACAACTGGACAAACATAGATCCCTACCCTCCTTAGACGCCGGCAGCGCCAAGAGGGCGCCGTACACCGAGCACGCGCGGGCAAAGCATAACGTCGGGTCGGCTCGGCGAACCCCGACCCGAATCACGAATATGTATGCTTTGCGTCGCGGGGTCATGCTGTTGCAAGTCTCGGTGGAAAACTAGGTCGCCGACCCAAGGGAGCGGGAGCGGGAGCGTCGACGGTGGCGCAGCGGCGTGTCGACGACAGCATGCTTCGGCGTCCGCTCCGCCGACGTACGACCACATGTGTCTGCTGTGTTTGTGGAAGCATTGCTGCGCAGCTGATTGGCCCGGCTGAGCATCGCGCGGGTCGCCGCGACGATGCCCGTGGCGACCCGGCGCACTGGCCACGCCACAGCGGCGGTAGCGGTGCTGTGCTGCTGTCAGGCCCAGCTTTGCGGCGTCGGGCCCTAGCTGTGATCCGGTCCGGCTGAACGTCGAGCGTTACGTTTGTAGGTTCTTGAATGGACCGGGCGAGGCCTCTCACGGCGACGACGCATCTCTCTCTCAGCTGACCAGCGCCCGCCCACCTTTTGATGGACGAGGTCCAGGTCGACGTGGGGATCAGTGGACTGGACGAGTCAGGGCCATCGATAGGACCGTGGGTGAGGCAGGCCAGGCGGTGTCGAGCAGATGGGGCCAAGTGGAGGGCTCCTCGAGGCGAACTGCAGTGCTCAACCCTAGCCACGGTGCCCTGCCGCACTAAGACTCTATCTGGCAGCCTCTGGCTGGCTGCGCCCATGGTGCGTGATGCGCTCATGCCTGCGTGGATTGACCGCTCGCCTGTCGGCGGCGGCGAAAACCCGAGACGGGGGCCAAACACCAGCAGCCTCGTCGGTCACCGGAACCGCCCGGCAGAAGGCAGGAGGCTCGAGGAGCAGTCTCTCTGACGCTCCGAGACATGGCGCGCGACTCTGGCCTTGGGCTCGTGTAGGTTGCTGGGCAGCAAGCAAGCAGATGAGAGCGAGCGGTATCGAAGCTCCGCTGCGGCCAACGACGCAGCCTTCGAGCTGCTAGACCGTCTCGCGAGCACCGCCGCGATGCCGCCCATGGAGCTGGTGATGCTCCCGCTCGCTGCGGTAAGAGAGGCTGACCAGGCGATTGACACCGGGCGAAGGCAGGTGCTGTCCAGACAGAAGGCGGTCAGATAGGGCCGCTTCCTCGCTGCTTGGCGGCGAGATATATTATTTGGCGCTCCATCGAGTCGTCGCCGACCTTGACCCCGCACTCATCTGCGCTGGTGCGGGCCGCGGTATGTACTAACAGGCTTCTAGGGTGATCCCGGTTGGAGCGCCCAGCAGAAGAGGCAGGCGGTGCTTGCCGTCTGGCGATAGCGAGCAGCAGCTGGCGCGCTGGATTCCATCTGGCGGGGCGACGGTGGTCGTATCAGCTGCTCTCCTCTGCGGGCTGTTGAAAATGGTGGTCATAGAGGTGGCAAACCTGGGCCTCTGCGGCTCCCCCGACCAGGCGGCCCGACTCGCATTTCCTGGTGCCGATGAATTGAAACAAGCAGCAGCCAGATGGATGGAGGGGCAAACGGGCGTGGGCGCGGATTTCAAATCGACGCGGCGCCCAGAGGCCAGAGACTAGAGGCAGGCCGGTCGGGCGGACCGCCCGTTTGTCTGTCTGTCAGGCAGGCCAGCCTGACTGGCCCGACCAGTCGTGGCAGAAGCAACCCTGCGAGCCGGCCAGGCAGGCAGGCAGAATAGGCAAGCAAGCAAGCTCTCGGCCCTTGCGCTCATGCATGCTGTAGCCTGCCTGCCTGGCTGCCTGCCTACCTGAGTGACGGTTCGTTCGCCCGCCCTGCCTGCTTGCCCCATGCCCTGGGTCGGGCGGGCCTGACGGGTTGCCTGGCCAGGCCTGGTCGCTTGGGCTGTGTCGTCTGCCCCTCGTCGTTCCGGCTCCACCCAGCCTGGTCCGTATCACCGCTCGACCGCGCTGCCCTGCCCTGCCCTGCCCGCTCTCCCTTCGCGCCTCGGGAATCCCCCTTTCTCTGCTCCCTATCTCGCCCGTCCATCACCCCACCTTGCTCGTCTCTTGAACCTCTGGCTCGACCTTTCTCCACCATCATCACACACCCGTCCCCACCCTCTCGACCCCATCACCCACGCTCCATCGCCGCGCGTGCCTGTCGCTCACCTATCGCTCCTGTTCATCTTCGGTCACGCCGCCCGCTCTCTGCACGCATCGACCCCTCTGCCATCGCGACTGTCCCCTGGCGTTCGCGTTGCCTGTCGCCCCTCGGCCCTCCCGCTTGTTCCGCTCGACGTTTCACGCTTCAAGCCACGACGGGATCCACGGCGCTGCTCCACATACGAAGCCAAGCTCGGACCGCCCTGGTGCCTGCCATCCTCACCCAGCCCGCCTACACCTGCCTTAGTCTTCATCGTCGGTCGGATCCAGCCGACATACGCCCTTGCTGTCACCGGGAGCGTCTCGTCGCCAACACTTTCCTCCTCTCGCCAACCGTTGTTGGCTCATCTCGCGGCTTCGTGCCGACTCTTTCGGACCAGCTCCGACCGCCTTCGCCACATCCGCTCGAGCAGCGCCTCGGTCTGCGTCTACACGTCGACTGATCGGCCAGCCGTCGACAGATCTCGCTCTCCCCTGTCGGCGCTGTTGTGATTGAGCGTTTGCATCGATCATCGCCCGATCATTGCGTCTCCACTTGCGCAGACCCGCCCTGCTCGCCGTCTGCACTCGTTGATCGTTAGCGCCCAACGCCTCGTTCTCCGCACCAGCCCGACAAGCTCGTCCACGACCCCAGCGACGGCCTACTACCACTGTCCCCCCGCCCAACTCCTGTCGACTGCGCGTCAGCACCGCGGCATCTCCTTTCAGGCTCGTTTCGGTCCTGTCTCAGGGGCGGCCTCATACACGAACAGGGCAAGATGAACCACTCCACCGGATCGGCCGGTCCATCTTCGTCCGCAGGGTGAGTAGCGCCAAGCTGCGTGCTACGGCGACATCGGATGGCGCCGATCCCCTTTTCGCCTTGGCGGCCATCCTTCCAGACGGGCATCCCGTGACCCCTTCGCCGACACGACGCCATGTGACGCCCAGCCCGCTGGCCCTCGAGGCTATGTGAGCCAAACGTTGCTCTTGGCCCCTCGGGTTGCAAAGAGGCTTTGGCGGGTCTCTTGGCGTCCTTTGTCGCTGGCCAGATCGGCGTTTCGGCGTGGCCCACGCAGCGGTCCAGACCTGCCCCTGCCTCGAAGCTTGCCGGCCATTGCCTCCGACGAGATGAAGGGTTGCCGGCATCCGAGGGGCTTTGGTGGCCGCCACGTCTCCAGCTCGACCCACGTCCTGTCGCTGAAGCCATCTCGACTCTTTCCCCGTCCCTCCTCTCTCCTTTTTGCCTCCACAATCCCTGTCTGCTCGCCACCATCCGCTCGCCACCATCCGCTCGCCACCCCGCCAACGACCCTGCCGCTACCGCATGCCCGCCCTTCATTGCGACAACCTCGACTCCCAAACCGGCCGCGCCCTACCGCACCAACGCAGGCCCTCCAACGACCACGGCGTTGGCGAAAAGAGCTTCAGCAACGTCATCACCTCGACCTGCACACCCGGCCCCTCGCCCGTCAACACCCCTGGCGCCCTGACCGCCACTCCTCTGCCGATGGCCGGAGGCGGCGGCCTGCACCACGCGGTGCCAATACCGTCCAACTCGATGTCGCTCTCGGGACCCTCGCACGAACAAAACCTCTCTGGGAGCTTCGGCCCCTCGTCGGCCAACGCTTCGTCGGATATGGGCTCTGTCATGACCGAAGACGAGGAGGACCTCGAGGATTACGGAAAGGGTGGCTACCACCCGGTCCACGTCGGGGACACGTTCTCCGATGGCCGGTATCTCATCGTGCGCAAGCTGGGCTGGGGGCATTTCTCGACAGTATGGCTAGCAAAGGACCACAAGTGAGTAACGCCGGAAGGCGCGAGTGACTTGGCGTCGGTCGGCCTCATGATACGATCGCTCGTCAGTTCAGTCTACTGATGCCGCTCGCCTGCGCTCCTCCTCCTTGTGTCTTGCAGGATGAACCGGCACGTCGCCCTCAAGGTCGTCAAGTCGGCGCCTCACTACACCGAGACCGCCCTTGACGAGATCAAGCTGCTGCAGCGCCTCGTGTCGGCCAACCCATCGCACGCCGGCCGCCGACACTGCGTCTCGCTCCTCGACCACTTCCGCCACAAGGGCCCCAACGGCTCCCACGTCTGCATGGTCTTCGAGGTGCTGGGCGAGAACCTGCTCGGCTTGATCAAGCGCTACCAGCACCGCGGCGTCCCGCCGCACATCGTCAAGCAGATCGCCAAGCAGGTGCTCCTGGGCCTCGACTACATGCATCGCGAGTGCGGCATCATCCACACCGACCTAAAGCCCGAGAACGTGCTCATCTGCATCGACGACGTTGAGTCGGTCGTCGAGGCCGAGCTCCGCACCAACCCGGCCGCCGTCCCGACCAAGCTCGTCGGCGTACCACCAAGCCAAGGCCGCGGCGGCACCCAGACGCCGCGCAGGGAGGGCATCTTCATTACGGGATCGCAGCCCCTTCCTAGCCCGAGCAGCAGCCTCGGCTCGAGCCCGATGTTCGACAAGTGGGCGTTCGGCATGTCCAAGATCGACAAGCCGAGCGGGAGCGATAGCGAAGGCTTCAAGAGCGGCGCGAGCAGCGAGGCAGCAGGATCCAAGGTCGGCTCGCTCGCGACGAGCAAGGAGCGTGAGAAGACGGCCGAGTCGATCGGCCGCGGCATCTCGCAGCTGAGCACTCAGGGCGGCGCCGCTCCGGGGGCAAGCTCGAGCTCCGAACCCTTCGGAAGCAAGACGGCGACGGTGGCGCCCAAGCACAAGGGCCCGTCGCTGCTGTCGCAGCAGGCACCATCCGCGGCCGCCGCGCCACCTTCCGCTGCCCAGTCATCTACGACACCCCCGCCACAGCCATCCGCGGCCTCCACCGACCCCAAGTCAGGCCTGGCCGACGACGACGCCGCTCTCTCGCCGCGTTCGCCGATGGCCACAGACTCGCCTGCGCCGAGCGGTGGCGGCGACGCCTCGGCCTCGGCCTCGGCCACAAAGGCAGAGCCGGCGGGCGTCAGCCACCAGCCCGCACCCGAGGCCGGCGATCCGCTGACCCTGCCGCCACCGCCGCCTTACGACCCCAGCTCGCTCGAGCGGATCACGGTCAAGATTGCCGACCTTGGCAACGCCTGCTGGACCGACCATCACTTCACGAACGACATCCAGACTCGCCAGTACCGATGTCCGGAGGTCATTCTTGGCGCCAAATGGGGCACCAGCGCCGATGTGTGGTCGGCAAGCTGCATGTTCTTTGAGCTACTGACGGGCGACTACCTCTTCGACCCGGCGGCCGGCACCAAATACAACAAGGACGACGACCACGTGGCGCAGATCATCGAGCTGCTCGGCGACTTCCCAAAGAGCCTCGCCTTTGCCGGCAAGTACAGCGCCGATATCTTCAACCGCCGCGGCGAGCTGCGGCACATCCACAAGCTGCGATTCTGGCCGCTGATCTCGGTGCTGCAGGAAAAGTACTTGATGCCGTACAACGAGGCCAACTCTCTGTCGTCGTTCCTCGGCCCGATGCTGCGGCTTCATCCCGAGAAGCGGGCGAGCGCACGGGACCTGCTCTCGCACCCCTACCTCGAGGGCATCGTGGTGCAGGGCGAGATCGAGCTGGCGATGAAGCAGGCCGGCATAGACGTAGACGCCCTGCAGGGCAACGGCGAGATCCCGTCCGGCCTCACGCCGAGCGACGCAGACGCCCTCAAGCCCATCGGGTCCCTCTCGAGCAGCCCGGCCGGGCTATCTCTCAGCACCGCGGCGTTTGACGATGCACAGCGCAAGGCCGCCCAGCAGCTGCCGCAACAGCAGCGGCAGCAAGCAGACGGCAGCGGGTCCGGCGCTGCGAGCGGCGAGCCATCCTCGAGCGCCGACGACGGCGATCTGTCCCACGTTACGGTCAAGGGTGGCGACGACGCAGGCGCCACGCAAGCAGCGACGCCCCGGGTGGCGGCCCAGGGGCAAAACGGGTCGGCAGCGAGGAGCGGATCCTCGCCTTCGCCACAAGGCCTGCCGAGACCGGTCGCCACCGCAGTGCAGTAGCGAGGTGACCATCCTCCGGCGCCGCGGTGTTCGCCCGTTGGGCTTCGTCGCCCACCCGACTCGAATCAAGATACCAGCGCGACGAGTCGTTCAGGCGTCGTTGGTGGGCACGAAGCCCGCCCTCGGAGATGCACGAGGCGGATCAGATCGATTTGCTCGGCATGCCCGCCGTCTCGCGGCCGCGTGTCGCTGGGCCGCTCGATCTGGGAGCCTGGCGCCGCCTGCGTGGAACGTTGGATTCGAGGCCGAAAGAGGAGAGTCCGGACCAAGATACCGATACCCACACCCTTTCCGCCATTCCTCTGCCCCCATCCGCCTCTGGACCGCCCGCTGCCCTTTCCGATAGGTTCCAAGCCCCATTCACCACGGACCCTCGGCCCGCTCGGGCCCCTACCGATTCTTGGCCTTGTTGCTCTCCTTCTTCGCTGCCCGCACAGCCACGTCCTCGGCAGGGGAGCTGATTCGCAGCCGCTGGCGTCTAGGTGCCACCGCTGGCGTCGCGGAGCGGTGATACCTTGGGCGTGGTATCGTCGCCGTCGTAGTCCCACCTTCCTTCCCCTCCATCGTCCGCCCAACCATAGACGTCTCTTCTTCCGGCATTCCCTGTCGTCCACCTTCCGACTCCTCCCGCAGTCCATCCTGTCTTCTCGCCCCCTCCTCCTCCATGTCGCAAACGAGGGGGATGTAGGGTTGGTCGTCTTCACCATCCTATGCTCAGTCCGACCTCTTTCCCCCCCGTTGCCACGCCCTCATTGCGTCAAGTCTTTGTACACTCTATCCATTCGATCCGCGTTCAATTCCACACATTCGCACGCCTTGTTCCCTTTTCTGCATCTCGCCGCCCCGCACCGCCCCGCCTGACTGCACGTCTGGTATGAGGCAGACGCTTGCGATTGTTCTGGGCCTCGGGGGCGTGGTGGCTTTGTCCCTAGCCCCGATCGTGGTTCGGTGTGCTTCATCAAAGATGGGTCACCTCGATCTGGTCTGGCAGGCCTGCGCGTGGACGTCGCGTTGATGGCACCCGACGCGCGCTGGTGGGTGTTGGCTGGCGGGAAGAAACCAAAGGTGGAGGAGCGGAGGTTGCTTTCGCCTGCTCCCCCTCTCTCACCTTGCTCTTTTGATCCCTCGACTCACTCTCCACCGGCCAACGGTCTCTCTAGGGTCCCATCACCTCGCCGAGCACCGACCAGCATGGCCTCACCACCCACTCTGACCGGAAAGAGCGAAGCAAGATGACAGCGCAGCCAGCCAAACGACCCCGCTGGCAAATCTACCGCGACCGCGCCATCGCCAACAAGCGGCAACGCACCGTATCGAAAGAAGACCGCGGTCTCGACCCGACACGGCCGGACCCGAGCCGTCCACGTCTTTTCGCTGGACCGCAGGAGGAGGAGGATCAGAAGAGGGCGATACTGAGCGGACCGTTCCACCAAGACGAGCGTGGCCGTCGCAAGGTCTACGCCGTCTTCTCCAATCAGGGAACCGCTCAGGATGCCCTGTTTGACCGGAGGGAGGCGGCGGAGAGATGGGTGAGTCGTCACGTTCTTGTTTTGCTCGAGGTGCCACCCTGACGTCGAGAGGCTGACACTGGCCGCTCTGGAGTCGGGCTAAATCGCAGGCCGAGGACCGTCCGGGGGCGAGGATGAGGATCTTCTGGGACGACAGCAAGGCCCGCGAATGGATCGCCTCCTTGGCTCACAGCGCTGCGACTGGTGATGCTGCCGCGTGCGATTGCGACGACAGAGGCTCGCCGATGCCGGAGATTAAGCTCGCCGCCCTCGACACACCGCCCTACCGCGTCGAGACGGCCATCCTGGGGCTCAAGGCTGAGGACAAGCCCGACGCCGAGTGGAAGGACGGCCTCGCTGCCCTTGCAGACCCTCACAAGGCGCTCGCCCCAGCCAAGGTCGGACGGCCGCCGCGTCCAGAGACCGAGAAGGTCAAGCCGCCCCCCAAGATCCAGCTCTCCGCCGAGCAAGAAGAGGCGAAACGGCTTGCGGTGCTGGGCGGCTCCTCGCTCTTCATCACCGGCGGCGCAGGTACCGGCAAGTCGGTCCTGATCCGCGAGATTGTCAAGGCGTTCCAGGCAAAGGACTACGAGATCGCCGTCACGGCGACGACGGGCATCGCAGGCCTCAACATCCAGGGATCCACGATCCACAGCTGGGCGGGCATCGGCCTCGGCAACGGTACGCCTCGGATGCTGGCGGAAAAGATCTCGAGCAAGCGCGACCTCGTGTGGCGGTGGAGGCGGGTCGAGGTGCTGGTCATCGACGAGGTGTCGATGCTCGACGCGCTGCTCTTCGACAAGCTCGAGGCGGTGGCCAGGGCGGTCCGCAAGGACCCGCGACCGTTCGGAGGCATCCAGCTGATCCTCTGCGGCGACTTCTTCCAGCTGCCGCCCGTCGTCGTCGAGACGAGGAGCAACGGCCACCTCGACCCCGAGCTCGAGCAGAAGAAGGCGTACCTGCTCAAGCGGGGCTCGTACCGATCCAACTTTGTGTTTGACGCTCTCTCGTGGTCGAACTGCGTACCGCGCACGATCGCCCTCAAGCGCGTGTTCCGGCAGACGGAGAAGGACCTTGTCCACCACCTCGACTGCCTGCGCCGAGGCCGCACCGACCCGGACATCGTCCGCTTCTTGACCGCGCTTGATCGGCCGATCGACTGCTCCGACGGCATCATGCCGACCGAGCTCTTTTCGAAGAAGAAGGAGGTCGAGGCTGCCAACGTCGCCCGGTTGCAGGCGCTGCACGGCTTCCCCTACTCCTTCAAGGCCGACGATGTCGTCAATCCGGCCTGCCTCGAAAGGATCGCGGAGGCCGAACGCAGCCGATTCGCCGGCATCTACCTGAGCGAGCTCAAGAGGAGCACGATTGCGCCGGACTGGATCGAGCTGAGGGCCGGCGCGCAGGTCATGCTCACCAAGAACTTGACCAACGGCCTGGTCAACGGCAGCGTCGGCGTGATCGTCGCCTTTGCGTCGTTGGACGACCACGAGGTGGCCCGGGACCACAACGGCAACCTCTGGTTCCGCCGCGAGGGCCACAAGGGCCGCGTCCAGATCGCCCAGAGCGCTGTGGGCTCCAAGAACCGCGCCGTCACCGACTTTGCCGCCAAAGTCGACTGCAAGCCCAAGGCGAAGGAGCCCGACGCCAGCGCACTGCCCCTGTTTGCGGCGCGCGTCAAGGAGGTTTCGGACGACTCGCTGCGGAGCTCCCGCAAGTGGCCCGTCGTCCGCTTCTCAAAGGGCCTGGCCAGGGACGAGTCGATCGAGATGCTGGTCCCATCGATGCCCTTTGACTTTGAGTCGGCTGTGTCTGGGAAGACGGTCGCGACGCGTAAGCAGGTGAGTGTCGTGGGACCATCGTGCTCAGCGCCGTGCCGGTCTTTGCTCAACGAGGCTGACCCTTGTCTCTGATCGATTTCGTCCTCAGGTGCCACTGATCCTGGCTTGGTGAGTGCGCCGGCGAGGCCGTGTGCGGAACTTTCTCGCAAGACGATGCGCTGACGACCGCCTGTGACTCCCGCCGATGCTCTTACGCTGGCTGACCAGGGCCGTGTCGATACACAAAGGCCAAGGACAGACGCTGCCGCGAGTCAAGGTCAATCTCGGCAGCGTGTTCGAGAGCGGTGAGCAGGCTGTGGCTTCTCGCGGGCGGAAGGTCGCCCTACGAGGTCTGTGAGCTCACGCTTCTGCTTCGACCGTCTGTCCCTCCGTGTTGGATAGGTCAAGCCTATGTGGCGCTTTCGCGAGCGACGTGCGTCGAAGGACTGCAGGTGCTCAACTTCAGCGCAGAGTGAGTGTTGCGAGCGCTCATCGACATGCTCTGGAGCGCGTTGCTGATATCCTCGATCCGTGACGGTGCCGCGTCTTGGCCCCGCAGGAAAATCTTCGCCGAGGAGCGGGTCATCGAGTGGTATCGGGAGCTGGAGGAGGAGCAGGGGCGCAACAAGCGCGAAGGGAGTGGGTCAGAAGAGCAAGAGTCAGAGCCGACAACATCGAAGGTCGAAGCAGAGGCAGGGGCGGTGGCGAAGCCAGGGGCCGACGAGGAGGTGGTCGAGATCAAGAAGGAAGATTTCTACACGGCCGCCGCGCCGCACGAGCAGGCGCCCGAGGTCATTGTCATCCCGGATAGCCAGCCGATGCAGGCGATTCAGTGCTGCTAGCAGCCATCATCATATACGACGAAGGAGGGCAACCCATGGCTGCGCAGTCGCGGCCAAAGCGTCGTCACGGGCCTCTCCCGCCAGGCATGCCCCTGTCTCGGCCCCTTCCGCCCGTAACTCCACGAACCTTTTCCGTCACACAGTCACCTTCTCAGCATCACAGGCACGGCCGCAGTGTCGTTGTAAGACATCCCAGACAGTCCATGGTCACACGTAGCAGGCAGGCCCTCATCCGCCGTCCCAGACTGCTCCTCAACCAAAGTCGTTGAGAGTAGCGGAGCAGGGCCCTGATCCTCTCGTGCGAGATTGCAGCGTGACCAGACCTGGCGCACGGACCGACACATGAACCCGTGGGGGTCGCTTCTTGCTCCACATCCTCGGCCGCTTTCCGCTGCCTTAGCTTCCTCTCTCGCCATCGGTTGCCCGCATTCCCCTCTGTCCGCCGCCGACCGCCATGGCGGCACAACCGTCCTCGTCGCCGTCCGCGAGTCCACCCCTTCTCCCTCCGGACGTCCCAGCGAATCCGTTCGCCGACGACGACGGAGACGACCACGGTCCGCTCTACGCCTCGCAGCAGGAGCAAATCACGCGACAGGATGAGCACCTCGACAACCTCACCGCGTCCATAGCACGGCAGCAGCAGCTCTCGCTGCAGATGGGCGACGAGCTCGATCTCCACCACGATCTCTTGAACGAATTCGATCAGGACGCAGAGCGGACGGGCCTCAGGCTCGGCGGGGCGAGCGATCGGTTAGAGACGTTGCGGAGAAGCGTCAAGGAGAACGGTGAGTTGCGGGGCGCCGTGGGGCCAACGGAGAAGCAGCAACGGCTCTTGTTGACTCGATAGTTCCACACTACTACTGCTCCTCGTGTGCTGCTCCAGGCTCGACGTACCTCATCTTTGGGCTGATCATCGTCCTCGTCCTCCTCATCGCCGTCTTCAAGTAGATGAGTTGCAGCCGTTCGAAGCAGCATGGCGCCCTCGGAACGGCATAGCCATGCTGGACTTACAGCGCGGTCGCTCTGTTCACGGCTCCTGGCGACCGAAGCGGGCCGGCTTACGAGAAGCTCGACATCGCACGTGGCGGTAGGACAGTCCTACACCGGATCCATGCTGTCTTGCGGGACGGACCCCACAACCCCATATCGACCCGCCATCTGGAACACCGCCGCCGACCGAGAGCGGTATGCGAGTGCGGTGCCGGACTGTCGTGCCCTCAGAAGATACGGTGAAGCTCGCCGTTGCCCTTTCAACCCTCTCTTCGCACGGTTTCCCGAAGGCGTTGCACGGCTGAGCAACCGAGCGTCAAGCCCCACATATCGGACTCGACAGCACAAGGCGAAGGCAAAGAGCGGCTGAGCGGCGAAACTGGGCTTCCCCATGCACGGACGGCACGGCCCGACGACTCAGAAAGGCGGGGAAAGGGATCAGGGTCGACAAACACCGTGCCTGATCCTTCCTTCAGCTCGGCGTTGGCGAGACAGAAGAACTTTTTGGACACCGACTTGCTCAACATTCCCCGCGCGATGGAAGCGGGCGGGGCTGGGCTGTGTGCCAGAGCGCGCGGTGTCTTTATCCGAGCACGGCCGGCCGGAACGGATGGTGTCGGCGGTCTGGTCGAGCTCGATCGAGCTCGAGGCCGAGGTCGTGTGTGAGGTCGCTCCGAGCGGAGCTGGGGAACGTGCGCGGGCCGCTGCGGTCGTCGGTCGGCTCCCTAGAAGGTCGTCGAACAATCCATCATGCTGAATCTCGCCGAGCAGGCTGGAGAGGAGGCGGCCCGAACCAAAGGTGTGGTTGCGGATTGATCCTCTCGTGTGCTTTAGGTACCTACCTGGGTGCCGAGCTGGCGGTAGCGGTACCGTGCCGAATGGGCTGAGTCTAAGACGCCGTGCGGGCCATGGCAAGGAGTAGAGCGAGCGCCAGGAGCCACGTTGATCTTGATCTTGATCTCCGACTTGCAGTCACCCCCACACGACGGCATGCAACGGCATCGTGGCGTATGTTTGCCGTGCCGTTGCTGGAGCGGGACAGGGCCATGTACCCCGCTCCCCGCAAACAGCGGGGCCACGCACGGTGGCCTGGCGAGCGCACAGCGGGCGAGCGGAGGCGGTACCGCTCGTCGGTGCACGCTGATTACCTTATCAGTGGTGGCTCCGCTGGTGATCCGAGAGTGGAGCGTGGTACCGCTACGGTATCACAACGTGGGCGCAGCGTGGAGGAGAGCGGGGCAGCATCCCGAGATACGGGACGGATCATGAAGCGGGCTCGGCCCTGAGCGCCTCAACGAGGCCGAGGCCACGCGCGGCATGCGATGCAGGCCTGGCAAGGCCGCCGATGGGTTCGGCACCGTCCCGATCCGAAGTTGCTCCGAGAGCCGAGACCGTACACGCGGGTCGAGGTCCAAGCACGAAAGACCAAACGTGGCTCGTCAGGCCAGCCTGGGGGGGGTTCGATGTGGTCTTCACCTGTCGTCCTGATGCAACATCGCTTCCGATTCGAGGATGCTCCTTGGTCCAGCGCCCTGGTGCCGCGCGACCCGGACAAACCCCTTGGCGCGACAAAGGGGCGCGGAAATTTTTTAACCGGTGCGTGCCGGCTAGGCACAGGGCGCCAGCCGGAGTTTTCTCTTGCCTTGGTGGGCCCGGGCTGGCCGGCCAAGTCCAAAGGCCAAGCAAAAGACGCGGCCCACTCAATTTCTCTTGGCCTTTCGTCCCAGCCAAGAATACAGTACTGCAGGTGTTCACCGCCACGCTCCGTCCGCTCAAAGAGGTGTGAAGGGCGTCACTACTGTAGTAAGCAGTCGTCCTGCGGAGCGCGGCTCGGCGGCGCGGCGGCGTGGCAGGCCTGGCGTAGCGTGGATTCGACGTGGCGTGAAGTTGTGCCTATCGTCTGCCCGTCAAGCAGGTCCAACGATCCACCGGCTGTACCTGCCTTGGTCTGCACCGGTTCCGGGACCGTACCTACGTGCTGTACGACACCTGCGCGATCTGGCCGCTGCTGCTGCTCGCTTTGTCCAGGCGGAGGCGCATGCGACGAAATTATTGTCCGACCGCAGCGCTCCGAGGGTCGAAGGTGGGAAAACTGCGCTTCGTCTCGAGGGCAGAGCGCGCAATTCCAGGCCAGGCCAGGTCAGGCGAGGCGGCGCCGCCAAACGTCGCCAACGATGTGCAGCCGTGTCTGAGTGACTGTTCGCAGCTCGGCGGGTTTGCCGAGGCGAGAGGCTGCCTTCCGCCATACCGGTAGCATGCTGCTCAATCGAGATGGGCATGGCACCGACTGCTCTTAGCTTGCTCGTTTTCTGCTCGCACCTGGTTGGCCACGGTCGCCTCTTGCGCCTGGCCAGGCAGCTGAGGATGCAGCCTCGTCGGCTGATGCCGCCCTCGCTTGACCGGCGATGCTCCCACCTCGCCCTGTCTGGTCACGAAGAGAGCCAGCAGTAGTGCGGCAGCATCGTCCCCCGTACCTACTCACCCACGGCCGCAGTAGCGTGCGACGGACGTCGGCCTCTCGGGGCCATGGCTCGCTGCCACGACCCGTCCCAGCTGGCCTCCTTGTCTTCGGCCTGGATGCATCCGCTCGCATGAACCTCTCGGGCCTACCACTTTGTCCGCTGGCAAAGAAGACGAGCCTCGTGACCGGCCAGGAGTGGCAGCTGTGTGCCCGTTCTTGTCAACGAGGGCTTGGCGGATCCGGCAATCCTACCCGTACCGGTACTTCGAAGAGTGCGGCCCGTTGGAAGGCGAGCACCTGTCTTTTCTGTGGCCAGCCAACCAGGAGCGTGGATCGGGGGTTCGGGCCGACGCTGGTTTGAGTCAAGAGGCGCCGGTGCCGTGTGCGCTGCATGGTGTTCGTACCGTGTGCACCGCGTTTGGTTTGCGCAGTGGTGCGGGACGACGACACGATGACCTCCCGTCGAGATCCTAGCTCCGATCGCGGCCTGCCCGGCCCTTTACCCGTCGCGTTTCGTCATCGCCTGCCAAGCGTCGTCGATGGTGCCGGACTGCGCTGACTTTTTCCCGCGGAATTTCAAGATTTTGCTCGCCAGCAGAGGAAGCCAGAGCGTATGTGGAGAGGCTTGATGGTCGCTTGACCTTGCCTGGTCGCCCCTCCACGTCCCGCCTGTATCCCTCGGCCGTAATTCGAAGGTCATCCGAAGGGGCGACGACGAGGACGAGGACGAGGACGAGGACGACGACGCCACGGATGCTGCTTGAGCCCGGCGCGAGTCGCGAGCATACTGTATCGTCTAGCGCCGAAATCGTCCCACGGCCGCATCGGTTCCTGCCGAGGACTGTCCATGCGCAGGCCGGCTGCGCCGTCGCCCCCGGGTGCAGTTGGCACAGGCGGCGGATATGCGCCAGGTTAGGCGGGCGTGGCAGCCAGGCAGTAGTGCCAGCCACACGACGACGAAGGCGGCGCGGGACGGAGGATTCCCCCCCCCTCGCACGCTTTTTTCGAAAAACGGGGAAAACCCCCGAGAAGCTGCATGCAGGAAGCTGAACCGGCCAGGCAGGGCGGCAGCACCGCAGCGTTTGACAGCTCTGGGGCCGCCACGCCCCGGCAAAGCAGGCAGAGGTTGAGCCGGGCGCCGGCGTGGGTACCGAGGGAGAATCGACGACAGCAGCTCGACCGAGGAAGCCAGAGAGAGAGTCTTGCCAGAGAGAGTCAGGCTGTGGTACCCTTTGACACTCAGCTCGAGGCTCATGGGTGGCTGGCGCAGGGTCAGGTCCAGTCGGCGCTGGCTTGCTTGTCTCCGAGAGACGGGACGGATGGCCAGCAGCCGCGCCACCAGCCTTTGTCGTCGGCACCAGCACGACCAGATGTGCCTCCCTCTGCTGCTGCTCTGACCCTCTTCCCCCTCCAGTCCCGTTGGTCGTCTGAAGATGAGAGGGCGCTGCCGTTGCAACCTGGCTTGCTTCCCATCAACCAGCACCCAATCAAGACCCAGCATCCGGTACCCTCTCCCGTCCGCCGCCGCCTCCCAGGTACGAAGAGCGACCACTGTCTGCACTCGCATCCTCGTGGCCGGTGCCCCACGGTCGTCTCCCCGCCCGTCTTTGCCTTCTCCTGCTTCTCACGGCTTCGAGCGCTTCCTCCTGCCAGCCAGCCGACCAACGACAGGCTCTGCCTCCGTCTCTGTCTTTGCCGCAAGCCTTAAAGTCCCTCGAGCCTGCTCATCGGGTCGCCCCGACCCGGCACTCCCTGTTTTTCACGCCAGGTCCGCCGCCACCCTCGTCCTTTCCTTCTTGCCCTCCTTGATTCCTACGGCCCCGTGACCGACCATCCGTCCTCTGGCGCCGACCAACGACCGACCTTTGCTCAAAAGGACTCGGAGGCAGAACCGCCCCTTCTCTCTCGCTCGTCGCGTCCCGTCGTTCTTATCACGTATCACCATCCGCTCCGGCCCGCCATCCGACAGGCATACCTCTGCTTCCTCTTTCCTCTTCTTCTCTCGAGGCATCGGCTCTCATCACCGCCCGACCCATCGCGATCGGAATGTCCCGACCGCACTCGCCCGCCCCCGGCGCTCAGCTGGCAGAGGATGTCGCTGTAGCAGTCCACCTCAACACCGACGGCGCAAGCACGCCAAACTCGCTCTCTGGAATGCACCTGCAGCTCCCGGAAAACCCTCGCTCGTCCGGCGACGCCTCTGACCCGGCCACGACCACATACGCCCTCGAGCCGGTCAACCCAAAGGAAAGGGTCACGGTCGACGTCGTCAAGGACGCAAAGTCCGGCAAGCACTACAAGGCCATCCCCGTCAAGAACCCGGCCTACTCGCTTGGCCACACCAAGGGCGCCCCCGCCGTCGCGCCGCTCCCGCCCAGGACGACGGGCCGAATCGGCCTCGGACACGCGCTGCCGACCAAGGAGCAGAACGACGCCTACAAGAAGGACAAGAAGCTTCGCTCCGGCAGGACCTCGGCGGGCACCCACACGCCTGAAAACTACATGTCGGACAGCTCGCGTCGGCCATCGATGGACGCCAACACGAGCGAGGGCCGCAACCTCTTGCTGCAGCAGCTGCGCGAGCTGATCCACGAGGAGGTCTCCCGCGCCAACTGGCACCACAGCGAGAGCGTCAAGCAGCACCTCGAGGAATCCAAGCAGGACCAGGTCGACCTGCTCGAGGAGGCCATCGCTAAGACCAAGGCGCAGGAAGATGAGAAGGCGGGCGACCTCGAAAAGACGGCCGACGTCGATGCGCCCAAGATGCTCATGACCGAGACCAAGGACGACAGCACCGTCAAGGGCAGCGACACGTCGGCCGTCGAGACCGTCGACCCGGAGTACGTCGAGCGCGGCGTCATCGAGAGGACGGGGACCGACGGCACCGACGGCGAGCTCGAGTTCCCCAACCCGTGGGCCAAGTTCAGGTACAAGATGCGCGAGCCGTTCGCCGAGTTCCTCGGAACCTTTATCCTCATGACGTTCGGTGACGGTATCAACAACCAGGTCTTTGTCTCGCAGATGCTCGACCCCAGCAGCCCCAAGGGAGAGTACCTCTCGGTGTCGTTCGGCTGGGGCGTCGGTGTGGCGCTCGGCGTCTGGGTGGCGGGCGGCATCTCCGGAGGCATGCTCAACCCGGCCGTCACCATCACGCTCGCCACGTTCCGCAAATTCCCCTGGAAGAAGGTGCCCATCTACATTGCCGCGCAGCTTCTCGGAAGCTTCTGCGGCGCGCTCTGCATCTACGGCCTCTACGTCAACCCGATCCGCATGGTCGACCCGCTGCAGACGGAAAAGACGGCGGCGCTCTTCACCACGTACCCGGCCGAGTTCCTGCGCACGCCGAGCACGCGCATGACGACGTTCTACAACGAAATCTACGCCTCGGCCGTGCTGCTCATCGTCATCCTGGCCATCGGAGACGCGTCCAACACGCCGCCGCCGGACGGCATGGCGCCCATCGCCTTGCTCTGGCTCGTGTGGGGTCTCGGCGCCACGCTTGGCTGGCAGACTGCGTACGCCGTCAACCCGGCCAGGGACTTGGGACCGCGCATCATGCTCTCGGTCGTCGGATACCCGTCCGAGATCCTCTGGACCTTTGACGCGTGGTACTGGCTCTGGGTGCCGACGCTCGCCACCATCGTCGGCGCCCTCATCGGCGCCTTTATCTACGACGGCCTCATGTACACGGGCGGCGAGTCGCCCCTCAACGCAAAGTGGCGCTTCAGCTCCACCCGCTTCGGCCGCGGATCCAAGAACAAGCTGCCCGCCGCCCTCTCCGAGGCGTGATGGCCGGTACCGCTCGTCGTTCTTCCCACCAACATTGCACTTCGTCTTCAACCCTTCTCGGTTTCGGCTGCCGCCGCCGCCTACAGGGCCAGGCCGAGCCGACTTCTCTGCCCAACCTCTTCTTTTTCGCCAAAAGTCAAGGGCCTGCCATACGAAAAAAACCTCTACCCTATCAATCGAAATAAGTCTCAACTAAGCTCGGTCCGCAGGCCGGAACATCCCTTGTCTCCTCGAGCTCAAGCCCAAAAACCCGTCTGGGCCATCCGTCTCTCTTCGTGCCCACTGCCTCTCTGCCCGTCTTATCGTCGATCGATTCGTCGTCATCGCTTCTGCATGCCTCCGTACCACCTTGCCTGCTCGTCCACCGTTGCTTTCCCTCCTCAGTCGTACCTTAGCAGCGCAGCGTATCCTTGCCCTCTGTATGATCCTGTACCACCTCGCCCACCTCCTTTCCTATGCCCCAACTACCTTGCAAACCGATCGCAAAGCGCTTCTAACATCCGCTCATCGACGTGCAAAACGTTTCGCCTGAAACCATCGACCGTTCGTGGATGCAAAATCGTGGTTCATGAGAGAGGAGAGGTATATCTTCGCCGCGGTCAAAAGAAGAGGCTTCTCCATTTGTGCTGCTACGACGATCGGATCGCGAACAAACGAATCATGGATACAACTACAGGCAGAAGGCACGGACGTCGGCATCGACGCGTGCTTCTGGGCGGGCGAGCGAGCCCGTCGATCCCCAACTTGTAGTCAGGGAGCGGTGAGGAGCCGGGCCCAGCCAGTCTAATCTTGACGAGGGAGAAGGTGTCAAAAGGGCAACAGAGACTCGATCGACGGAAGGATCGCGAACTAGGTGGCGCCAACGACGGAACGGACATGCTTGCTTTGTTGGGGTGCGAGGCGAGGACAGTGGTGCAAAGATGGACTCGGACCTTGTATCGGAACGATGCTGAGGTGCTGGCTGCAGAGAGGAGCGATGCACGTAGGACTTGTCGAGCGAGTAGACGGTGGAGGCCAGATAGGTTGAGCTGCTTGGGCTTTGCCCTAATCAGGACATCTGCCACTCGTTGCGGAGACTGGAGGCGCCCTGCTCAAACGCCCAGCCGGCGCTGTAGTCGGCGTCGATGGCAAACTCGTCGTAGCGGTGCTTGCGCCGCAGCGATGGCTTGGCCGACAGCGACGATCTCCGCGCGGGGCCCGTTGCCGTGCCTTTGGCCTGAGCGGGGAAGGCGCTGTGCGTGAGGTCGCTCGCGATCGAGCTGAAGATGGTGCTGCTATTGCGTCGACGACTGCTGGTCCCGTCGCTGCGGCTGCGAGGATGTTGTGCCTGGAACGGTTCGGGGGCATCGCCAAGCGGAGGCCTCGAGAGCAACGTTGGCGACGTCGGCGGCGACTCGAGGGTCGGCGCCGGCGGTTCAGTCTCGTCGAGGATGGGGGACGAGGGCATACTGACGGACCGATGCTTCTTCGAGATGTCGAGCGCCGTGTCCAGCTTGAGCGACTTTGAGAACCCGAAGCGATCCTTGCCGCTATCCGGGAGCGTGCACGCTCGTTGCTTGGCAAAGTCGCTGGGCCCGCCACGGCGCGGAATGAATCCGAGATGCGTCCAGCCTTGACTGAGCTGCCGGCCGCGCGCAGATGATGAAGAGGGCATCGACTGCTGCTGCCCGCGCTGTTCAGCCTCGTCCCGTGATGCGGTTAGTGTGACGTCTTCGGCGGTGGACGTCGCGGCCTCGTCTCTTGTGCTCTCGGCCTCCAGCTTCTGGCAAAGCAGGCTCGTGTCGAGCGAGAGATCCGGCTTGACGCCCTCGCAGTCGACGTCCATGGCGCACGCGGGAGGCGTCGAGTGTCCAGGCGTCGTCGCTGCCGAGTCGGCCGAGTCTCGGCGTGAAAAGATGGACAACGTCTCCGACTCGCCGCAAAGGGAGCCATCGTCGGCGCAGTCGTCTTCGTGGGTCGAGCAGTCGGGCAAGGGTGAGGGCGGAGGCGAGTCAACGACTTCGACCTCGTCTGAGGCGTCAGATGGAGCCAGAGGTGTTGGCGCCGGCTCTTCGAGGATGACCTCAGCCTCTTCCGACGATGCGGCGCAGCTGCCTTCGGGAGCGTCGCCGAGTTGTGAGGCGCACTTGTTTTCGCCAGCAGGGCAAGCGACATTTCCGACTGAAGCGGGAGCAGGCGGACGAGACTCAAACATCTCTGAGAAGCGGTAGCCTGGAGGGCCGTTGCGCCTTCGGCCGATGGAGTCGCCCTCGCGGCTGTAGATGGTGTGAACGGGGTAGGCGTAGGTGCCGTTCCAGTAGAGGCCGCCGGCGTCCCAGCTGAGCTCCTCGGTCTTGACGGGGACAAAGAGGACAGCCTTGTCATATGTCTGTTCTGGGATGGGCTCCGAGTAGCGCGGCCGTTCCGGTGCCCTGGTGATGACAATCTTGGGGATGGTGAAGTTGTGCGACGGCTTTGTTTCGCCGGCCTCCATGGCTGGCGGCTCGCACTCGAGACGAGCTGCTTCGTTGGCTGCAGAGTCGACGAACATGTTGGCAGATGTCGATGTCGGTGTGAATGGAAGAGAGTGAAGCTGCGCGAGTTGGTTGCGGAGTCGTAGCGAGGCTGGGTCGTGTCGAGTCTCGGCGGAACGATGCTACGGCGGCGGAGGTCGACACAAAGTGCGATTGACGAGATGGCGAAGAGCTTTCAAGACAGGCGATGCGGGTATCAACTAGTCTGCCAGATGGGGGGCAAGCCAGCTGCCCTCGTAGTCTGAGCGAGAAGGGTATGGATAGCGGCGGTGCGGCGAGAGGAGGAGAGGCGAGGCGAGTTGAGACTGACGGCGTCGATTGTGGCGGTGGCGGTGGAGACGTCCCTTTGGCGCGGAGCGGCGGTGAATGCGCTTCGTCGCGTTGTGAAGTCGCAGGTTGAGCGGGTGTTGATCTAGGGTTGCTGCGATAAGGGCATGGTCACTGTGAGGACGATGGAGTGTCTAGCGAAGGAGGGTGGCGGCGTTGTTGACGACAAGGGTGGCCTTTGTTTTTGAGGGTGCGGGCGCAAGAGCGGCGGGTGATCCGAAAGAGAGAGGCTGGACGGATGCACAGACGAGTGCAGGTGCTGTACGGTCCCCGTGTGATGATGGCAGAGGGGACGAGAGCGATGGAGTGGTCCTGGTCCCCACTCTGCGGATTAGGGTGTCACGGCGGCGCTTAGCGGCGTAGCATTTGGCTAACGGAAGCAGGCTCCTGAGCGATGGGGCGGCCGATGATGCTGCTGTAGCCTAGCTGGCCTGGAGCTTGATCTTGACCAAGCACAACAAACGGGAGGCCGACCGATAGGCTAGGGCACGTACAGTACGAACGGGGCGCCGCCGGTGACGAGGGGCCTGGGGAAAGGGCCGAAATGAGGGGCGTGAACACGCCGAGGGCGGCGGCGGCGGCGGCGACGACGACGACGACGACCACACGGCGGCGGGGTGCAGGGGACAGGAGACGAGAGGAGCAGCGGCGTGCAGGACAAAGGCTTGGTGGGCACCCGACGACGACAGGTTGGCAGGCCGGTGCGCGTCAAGGTGCATCTCTGCGCAGTTGACGCCCGCCCAAGAGCACGCACGCACGCACGCACCGCAAGGCTTGGGGTGCCAACGCAAAACTTCCGAGCCCAGGCCCCTGGTCCCTGGTTCCGTCATGCGCTTGCCAATCCCTACGCAAATTGCAGGCCCAGCAACGCCCTCGCCCCAGCCTCTTGCTCTCAGTGCCCGCGGAAGGAAAGGAAAGGCAAGGCGGTGGGTTGGAAGTGGTCTTGATTGCACGCCCCGACGGCACAAAGGGCCCGCCCTCGACTTGGCTTCGTCTGGCCCGTCCACAGCTAGACATGGATCTGGCAGGCGTGCTTTCTTCGCGCTCGAGCAGAGAGATAGAGATAGTCTCGATGTGGGCGCAGCGTGTTTGGTCGCCTTGGCAACCAGCCTCTGCCTTGACAGTTCGGAGGGTGGCAAAGCGCGCAAAAAAAGAGGGACCGACCCCCCGTTTCGGTCCTGCGCAGCACCCTGGCGGGTCGGCCCGACCCTCTGTGGCAGGCGGGGGAGAAGCAGCGACCGCGCGTTGTTGCTTGGCGTCGAAGATGGAGACGGCCGACCGCAAGGGGGTGCCGCCTTAACCTGACGCTCCAAAGAGGGAGAAGAAAAAAACATCCCGATTCCGAAGCAAATTATGCCGGACGAAAGCTCGTCTGGCGGCGTCCCGACCGTGCCTTGACGACGCTACGGCGTCAGCGTCATCTCGTACGGCGGAGGCGGCTGGCTTGATCGGATTATTCGTTAGCGACCACCACCTCTCTTGCTTGATCTACGGCGCTCGAGATGGTCCTCAGCCCGCTCCTCTTTCGCCCTCTAGCGGCTCGTTGGGCACCCACAGTGGGTATATCGTGTCTCGGAAAGGCGAGGGCCAGGTGCTACCGCCTGGCGGTGTCATTCGGTATGGATGGATCGCGAGGCGCGAGAGGGGAGCCGCGCCGCACGGCTGGGGGGTCGGAGCGATAGTGCCAAGCAGGGAGGATGAACGGCCCATGCGCCTCGCTTCAGGCACCAAGCGAGCAGGCAGCTGAACGGGCAAGGCACGGCCTGGCAGGAAGCATGCGCTGGCCTCACCCGGTCCCCAAAGGATCCCGCAAGCAGGAAGCAGGATGACGGCGGAAAGGTCCCACTTTATCGAGCCAGCGTCTCGCTTGGTCCCGGCGTGTCCCGTCGATCACGACGGGCCCCCGGCGCAGGCGCCTGCGCGGTTCAGGTGAGGTTTAGCCGCTCGCCCAGCCAGGCGTGGTTGGAGGCCGGCGGCCATCCGGCGAGCCCGACCATCGGATGGACCATGTCTCGTCGAGCCACACAGCGAGCGCCCCGCGACCGACGACCACCGGGCGGCTCCATCCGGACGCTCGACGAGCGGAGTTTGAGATCCACCCCGACGGGGCGTCGGCGCTGCTGTTTGTATCTCACAGCCCCATCCCGCAAGCAGGCAGGTACGGGCCGATGGACCTGCCTCTCTGTACAGAGATTCAGGCGGCGACCAAAACCTCCCTATTCCTCCTTAACGAAGGCCTCGAAGCGGCGAGCGTCGGTCGAGAAGCCACAGCATGCTGGATGGAAACGTCGCTTCGCCAAGCGCGAGCGATCGTCACCGCCTGCTTCCCCGTTTTCGAGTCTTTAAAGTGAAGCGTGAAAGGAACCGCCTTGTCGTCGATGGGCGGCTACCATGCTCGCTACCGGCGGCGTTTGCGGCTCAGCTTCTCTATCCGCCTGGCCTGTACTCCACGGACCAAGGACCATCCGTCACGCTTACCCGCACCATGCTACACACATCGTACGCTAGAATCGCAGAAAATTTGCACGACAAGAATCACTTGCCTGCCTAGCCGCTCCTTCCTGAGATTCTCGACGTCTCGTCGCTCTTCATCGACGAGGATGGTTCGGTAGCGAAAATTCGATGACGACGTTCCCCGCCTGTCGTTTGCCAACTTAGGACTCTTCGGTGCCTTCTTTCGCGTGGCCCTCTTTCCCGTTGCTGTTTTTGGTCGTCGTCGTCGTCGTCTCGGATGGGGAAGGGCAAGGCCGGCGGTCTGACAACTGGTGCGGTCTGAGGCGGCTTTTGCACCGGTCTCGCACGTCGTCCTCCACAATCTACTCGTTGCTTGGCCAAGCGTTCGTCAGCGGCCCCCTCGCCCCTCTTGTCGACTTGGGCCCCGTGTACGCTCAGCCCGGCCGCACTCACGACCGAACAGCTGGAGCAAGTGAGGTCAGATCGGGCTTCGCTTCACTCGTTCGCTTCTTTACCGTACCACCGTAACGTCTTGGCACCTTCTCTCGGCGAATGAAACGAGAGAAAAAGGATGACGACGGAGCGGCGTCGTGCGGACATGGCTGGCATCGACCGGCGGCGGGACCTTTGGTGGGAAAGCACAGGCCGGGGCCATATGGACGAGCATCAAGGGTGAAAGGATGACAACCAACATGTCGATCCCCGTCCAACCGTCCTTACCCTACCAACCAAATCAACCAAGCGTTTTCCTGCCTGGCCAGGCCTGCTCGCTGGCTGGCTTACCCGATCATCGTATCCCGAGGCATCAGCTGTCCTTCGCCTCGCCGTGCCCACGCACCCGCCCCCGCCCGCCTCCGGTCCGATGGTCATCTCGTTCATCCTTTCTCGGTACCACAGTAGTCGCCTTTTCTCTCTAGACGAACTCTCTCGTCAAGACGGTGGCGAAAGACAACGTGACTGGCCCGTTACCGTACGCGACTTCGTCACCTTGTGCCTCGTTCCCCCTCTTGTCACACGATATGAACAGGACCCAGCGGCTCTGGCCTCATTTCTTAGCTAAAAGACGCTGTGGAGACCAACCTTTGCTCCATCATCGCTCAAGGGAGCGCATGGGGCGATAAAGACGAGATCCCGTCCCTTTGGACGGCGACGAATAGCGGAGGCGCCATGACGCAAGTCGCTCCCTTCCCTCGTGGAGCCCTCAGGAACCGAGGACTAGCTTGAACCTCCGCACAGCCGCACGACGAGGACCCTGCAGGGCAGCCAGCCCCAAACGACGGCCTGGCCCCGCCCGCTCTCGGTGCCGAGAAAATGATCCCAACTACGCCCCTCCCTGCTCCTCGAGTGCCTCTACTCGTGCCACTTTCGTCGGTCAGCACAACCCTTTTATCATGTGACGATTCCGAACGACAATAGGTTGGACGTGCTTGTTGGGCGGCCATCCGCATGATGGGAGGCTGGTATGAAAAAGGACTGTGAAAGGAGAAGCCACAATAGAGGCGGAGAGGCGGAGGAATGGATCGCGAGATGAAGAGGACCTCGACAGATTGGCAACGCACGTTTGGCCACCGACGCCGCGCGCGCGCGTAGACAGATTGGAGGAGTTCCGGGAGGAGTTCCGAGAGGCGACGCCTCAAACCGAGGCCGTGACATAGCTGCCCCGCTTGAGTACGCACTCGACCGTCTTGCCGTACCTCTCCAGCCCGTCGCTTTCAACGGCGTCCGACCCGTCCCCCTGGTCATCGTCGTCTTCGTCATCCTTGGACAATGGTCGGCCTTTCGACGACGACGTCTGATGGTCAGCGATGGCGCCAGCCTGGAAACACCTCCATCGGAGAGGGCTCGGCGCGAGGGGCGCGTGCGCAAGCAACTTGGACCGCGCAGCTGCGAGCTCCTTGTCGAGATCCCTGGCCGTGACTGCGCATCGCGTCCGTCGTGTCGATGCAGCCCAAGAGGGGAAAAAAGAGGGGACCAGAGTCAGCTCGTCAGCCTTGCTTGTTCTGGTGCTCGGCAGGGCTCGGCTCACAATCTTGCAAGGAGGCCAGGTGCGCCATCAAGGGCTCGACCGTCGACCAAGTCACTCACGCGGGTTGCGCGGAGCCGAATTTGCCGGGGCCTGGCGCGGTGCCATCGACGAGCGCCGTCGCTAGCATCGCAAAGAAGAGATGGGGGATGCGGGCGAGTCGAGGCGGAACGTAGTCAGAACAGAGGGCCTTGGTCCCTTGAGCGCCCTCTCAACAAGCGCGCTGGTCGCGACTCACCTTCTGGAAGATGGCCTCCTTCCCGACTTCGACAATGTAAGGCTCTTCGTCGACCCTGCGGCCTTCTTCAAGGCACTTGACGACCCAGCTGATCCCGACAATCAGCGGCTTTGGCTCCGGCAGCGCGCGGTACGAATGCAGCGTGCTCGGGCGGCCGCTCTTGTAGACGATGTGGGTGAGCTGACGTTCACCGAAGCGCACGAGGACCTTGGCGCCGGCGTTCTTGAGCATCTCGACCCAGCATGCCGACGCATCCTCGCCATCCTGGTCCCGCACGTCGACCAACACCGTCAGGCCGCGGAGGAAGCGGGCTCTTGCACGATCCGCCTTGCCGCTGTGCGCAGATACGTCCGCATCGACCGCACCCCCGCCGCCGCCGATGATCAAGCCCGAGGAAATATTGCCCACCGACTTGTCTCCGGCGTCGCCAGCGTCCTCGCGCTTGGTAGGGACGTACGTGTACATCGAGCGTCGCCGGGCTGCTTTCGCCGCCTTCTTTGCCTCCTCTGCCGCCTTTGGATCGCTGGTGGCTGAAGCGTCGGCGGCCAGTGCGAACGACGAGTCAGTCAGCCCACTACCCTGCGTCGAAGGCTCCCGTTTGAGCGAGCCCATCGACTGGTTCGCGCCAAACGAGATGATCGAATGCATCGATCGGCGGCGGGCAGCCTTGAGCGCAGCCTTGCGCTTCGCCTCGGCTTCGGCCGCTGCAGCCTTGTCGTCCTGCGGCGCCAGGCTCGTCTCGGTCTGTGAGGACACCAGCGACGCGGCGTGCCTCGCGCTGGACGTGGTCCGAGCCGAGTCGAAGCTGTGGGAGCTGTCGGCGTCACTCTCCGACTGACCCCCGCGCGCTTGGGACATGGTCCTCGACTTCAACAGGAAGCTCGACGGCTTCTTGAACACGCCGTCGCTCTCCACCTCTCGCCGCTGCTTGTCACTATCGACGGCGGCACTGGCGCGCACCTCGTGACTCGAGGCGCCGTTCTGCACCTTGCTTGGCGAGAGGACCCATGGCCGATTGTCGCCGAGCGTGCGCTTGGGAGGCGACGCCTTGACGTCCCGCTGCTCCTGCTTGGGCACGGCGGAGGCGGTGCGGCGGTGAGAATGCGCGCTGAGCTTGGCGAGCGACGCCTCGAGGCTGGCCAGGGCATTTGAGGTCTCGGTGGACAGCGTCTGCTTGACGTCGACCTGTGAGGTCGTCGGCTTGACGGTGGCAGAAGAGTCGGCCGACCCGCCCGAAGAAGGATCGCTGCCGGTCGAGGGCCTGTTTCCCAACCGCCGGCGAGAGTGACTGGTAGGCAGAGGGCCTGGTGTCAAGACATACTCGTCCTCATCTTCGCCTTCATCCGCCGCCTCCTGCTTGACCTCGCCCCGCGCTGCCGCTCCCGCCGCCTCGTCTTGTGTCTCAGCCTCGTGCAGGAACATGCCGCGCCTGGCCTTGCCCGGAGAGGGCCTCAACTTGGCCAGATCAATGGGTCTGCGAGACGGGGACCGATTGAAAATGTCCGGACCGCTTGCTGCCGCAGCCTTCAAGGGCGACACGCGCGAGGCCGGTGGCTGCGCCGTGCCCTGTTCGCGGTATTGCATGGCCGCCTCGCTCCGGCCCTGCGCATGCCTGTCTGCCTTGCTCGCTGCGGCGTCTCTGGGTCTCATGGCCCCGTCTGACGTCTGTGCCTCCGACATCTGTTCAGGCTGCAGGGCTCTTGCACTCTTGAAGATGTGGGATCGGGACGTCGAGGTGCCGGTGCCAGCCCTGCGCTCATCGGTTGCCCTGATCGACTCGCTCGACGTCGAGGGGGACATGGTAGAGTGCGGTCGCTTCGCCAAGTCGTGCTGTGCGTTTTTCAAGTCGGTGCTCCGAGCAGTTCCGTGCACCTTGAAAGGGTTTGGCACGGTGAGGGGCTTGGTCGGGCTCGTCGGTCGAACGGACCGGACAGGCTTCGTAGGGGACCTGCTCGTGCCCGGCGCGACTCGGTCAACTCGCCGATCGATGGCAGCCGAGGTCTGCCTTGGATGCTGGTCGCCCAGATTGTGGCTTGCCCGAGAGCGCGGCAGTCCGAGATCGGCTCGCTGAGCGTCATGCGACGACTGTGCGGCGCGCGTGTCGATCGCTGGAGAGTTGTTGACCACCAGGCTACGATCCAGCTCAAACTCAAAGTCGTCGAGCCGCCCCTTGCGCGGGCTCTCCATCCTCGGCTGCTGCGTGCGAGCGATGCGCGGAGAGTCCGGACCGAATTCATACGTAGCTGCCTGTCTGGCTGCGCCGAGCTTCTGCGGCGAACGAGGAGCGTAGGTCTGCGGAGGGGGAGCACGGCGCACGGCTTCCTGACGACGTTCGTCGACATCGAGCGCAGCCTGCCTGCCGAGAAGAGAGTTTTTCAGAGCTTGTTTGCGGGGGTCAGTTTCAGTGTCCGAGAGACCGTCGGACAGCTCGAGGTCCTCGTGCCTCTCGGCCGTGGTGCTGACGGCTGTGCGGTGGCCGCGCGAGCCGGCCTGGTTGGACCAGTAGTCTGCGGCCGATTCGGTGGGCGCGGCAATCCGAGCCATGGAACGCGTCTGCCGCATGGGCTGGTGGGCGACGGAGCGCAGCACGCCGTTTCTGCGCTTCGGAGGGGAGGCCATCGCGAGGTCGCTCAAGTTGTGCAGGCCGAGAATCTGTGCACCGCTCGTGGATCGGCCAGTGGCAAGCCGAGGTTGTGATGGGTCTGTAGAGTAGATGGAGGCGGGAATATGTGCTAGGGGCCAAACGTGGGGGAGTGGTTGGTGATCCGGGAAGGAAATGACGAGTGCGGGAAGCGTTGTGGTATCAAAGGGAATGCATGCCGGACGCGTTGGGGCGGAAAAGGTAGAGCGGAAGCCTTGGCGCTACCTGCTGAGCGGACACGGGCGGGTATGTGGTCGATGCCGGACGGGTGGTGGTGTCGAATCTGGTCTGAGACGTGGCAAAGGCGGGAGGAGGGACAATGCTGCGGAGGGAGGGAGAGGCCTTTTGATCAACGTCGTAGTGGGTGTTGTAGCATCCGAGGCAACACGCGGAGGGTTATCGCACCCCGGCCGTGGGGAGGAGGAGTCGAGGATGTGATGAAGTGGGATGAAAGGTTGAGCCACAGGCTTTGTCGTCGCTGCCGCGGTCGTCGTCGTCGTCGTCGCTGGGTAGGTGTCAGGGTGGGGCGGGGTCAAGAGCTTGACGGTGGCGAGCCAGAGGAGGGAGAGTAGTGTGTGTGGTGATGGTCGCTGGACGACGGCGAGCAGGGCGGGTGACGACGGATCCCCAAATACCGGCGGTTGGCAAGCTGCTGCACCCTCGCCCGCCAGTCGAGTTGGGCGCGTTCCAGCTTGCCTGCCTGCCTGCCTGTTGCTCGTCTGCGGCCTCGCTGAGCGCCTTTTTCCTCTTTTCTGGCCCCGCCGACCCGCCGCTGTTGGACTCGGCGCGCTGGCTTTGTTGGGCTGGACTGGGTCACGTGCTCGGCGGCGAGATTTTAGCCATGGCTCGCGAAGTGCTTTTTGTGGCAGCTCACGGATCCAGCTATGCTCAGCCATCTCACCTTCGTTCAGAGACACGATCTGCTCGATGAGCACGCATGATAGCCGATCGTATGGCTGGTCTACGATGCAACAGGGCAGAGCAGAGCAGAGCAGAGCAGAGCAGAGCAGAGCAGAGCAAAGCAGAGCAGAGGCAGGCCCAGGCCAGGCTTGGCTTGGGGCCGTCGGGTCGCAGAGCGGAGCCGGAGCCGCGAGCCGCTGGCTTCTATTTTCCCTTTTCCGACTCCCGCTTCGAGTCCCCAGGTTCGCCGGCATCTTCGGGACGGACCCTTGGCCCCACGCGAGCATGCAGCTGCTTGGCTTCTTCTTCGCAGCCACCGTCGACTCCCGCGCCTGCCCGCCCGCCTTCCGAGTGCCGGGCGTCCGGGGCCGACCATCCATCCATCCATCCTCCATCTGGTCGCGCCGCTACTCGCCGGATGGGTGTCCCTCGTCAAGGGCGAGCTAGTCGACGAAGGGTGATTGCTTTGCCAGCCGGCGCACGCACGCCTCCGTCCGTGCATGGCCCCGTCGCTGCCAAGCAAGGCCATCAGCGGCTAGCTAAAAAGGGGCCTTTGGTACGTATGGTGCGGTTTGCTGGCGTCGAGTCTCGAATCTTGATGCAAGGGAGGCCGGTCGGAAGGAAGGGTCGAGGCGAGAAGTCCTCCTAAAGGGGCGTTGGTCACGACCGGGCCAACGTCGGCGATCAGCTCTCTGACTGACCGTAGACAGGTGGAGCGAGAGGAGGACGGCCGAGACGACGTCGGCCGACGTTCCAGGCGGCCTCGGCGACTCTCCGCTGGCAGACCATCCTCGCCGCCTGTTGCTCTCTCCGCACGAAAAGCGTCGGGCGGGAGCCACGCTTTCGGCATGCTCCGTCTCGCTCCTCTGCTCCCTCTCGGTCAGGCACGTCGATACTACTACTTCTGCGGATGCTCATCCGGCAGCCGGGTGGCCGCGCCCGCGGCAGGCGCTCGCTTCCTCGCCAGGCGGAGTCTCGCTGACGACACCGTGACGAGGCGGCGTGCTCTTTCTCTCTATCTCCTCTGGCCCCCTGAAAAGTCGCGCTTGCCGTGTGAACCATCCGCTCCCGGCCACCGAAGCGCCAGGTCGACTGCGTCCTTTGCTGAGCCTGCAGACGATAGCATCCACTTCTCGCATGTCGGCGAACCAGGCGCAGTCTTGGCGCTTCGGACTAAGTCGAGAAAGTGGGCAGAGAGCAGACTCCCGGGGGAGTCTTGGTCGAAGTCGGGGCGACACCGAGGCGGGCCCGGGGCTTCCGTGCGGGACGGCCGCGAGCGAATTTCCCGGCAGGCCGCCCGCCCGCCAGCGAGCCAGCGGCGGCGGGAGCATGAACCTTTTTGCCAAGTGTGGCTGGCCTGGCCGCTCCGCCAAAGCCCGGACGAGCGGCGGATGGACGGAAGGGCGCTTCAGACGGAGCGGATGGGGCAGGCTGGCTGGCTGGCTTGGATGGATGGATGGATGGATGAACCCGACGACGACGACCACCAGGGCCACGACCTCCTCCTCCTCCTCCTCACCCATCCACCGGCCCTCCCTGCCACCTGGCTCGTGTCTTGTGTAGCCACCGCTGTCCGCCCTCCTCGCCTGGGCCCGACCCTTCCATCCGACTAGGCCAGCACCGCAGCGGGCGCTCCACCGTCACCTAGCGACAAGGAAGCAGCTACACTGGTTAGCAGCAGCTCTGTCGGACTTGCCGCTGCACGGACGCAGAGACCCCCCTTTCTTTTCCCCGGCAGAGGGCAGCGGATGCAAAGGGGCGGACGGCGTAGCGCTGGCAAGACGACCCACACGCCTGCCCCTTGACGACCACCACCCGACGACACTCACCAGAGCCAGAGCCAGAGCCCTCGGCATCATCCCGACGGTCGCATCCAGGGTCCGGGGCCACCTTGATCTCTGCGCCGCAGAAGTCCCACCGGCTACGCCACGCCTATACGCCATACGCCATACGACCGCTGGAACCATCCGCCCCGGCCAGCATCCGCCCTAGCATCCGTCTGCTGAACCTGCCCCACCGAGGCCCCTCGCTCTTGCGACGCCCACGCAGGCATCCGTTGAGGCCGAGCAGCCCGACCATCGGTCCTCTTCGGCAGGACCGAAACGGCGAGACTCCAGCACCCTCGTTCGCTCTCCGCAATGGCAGGCTACGCTTACGGCGGTGCAGGTGCCAGCTCATCGGCGAGCCGGCGTCCGGCTAGGGCCGACACGCTCGACCTCAAGCAGAAGCTGGCCGTCGCCCTGGGCGAAAACGGCACAAAGTACTGGCAGACGTTTGTCCAGTTCTGCAAGGGCGCCATCGACCGGTCCGAGTTCGAGGAGCTGGCGCAAAAGTGCCTCAAGTCGGAGCATGGTGAGTCGCCCGCACGGCCATCGGCCCCTGTGCTGGCCCTTACCCATCCCATCCGCTCCTTGGAGGTGAGGTCGGTTGTGCTGACCATCCTTCCGGCCCCATCCACTCGCCATCGCCCAATCCTTGCGCCGCAGTCCACCTCCACAACTCGCTCATCCTCGGCATCCTCTACAACGCTAGCGCCGATGTGCCCGGACCTTCGTCTGGTAGGCGCGGTGGCAGGACGCGGGTGCGGAGGAGGCTACCCGACGGCACCATCCTCTCCGACGACGAGACCGACGACGAGGAGCCGAGCAAGAAGCGCCTGCGTGCTCTCGTCGCCGGCCTGCCCAAAAAGGAGCGGATGCGGCTCAAGAACCTCGAGCGAGCGGGCAAGCTGGGAACCAACTCGGCCGGCGGCGCGCTGGGCCTCGGGTGGGCTGGCTCGGCCGCCGACTTGCTGGAAAAGAAGCGAAAGGAAGAGGAAAAGCGCAAGGTGGTGGAGGACCGCCGCAAGGTGAGGGAGGTCAAGAGCGCCATCGGGGCCCGCGATTGGAAGGGCCAGACGCTGCAGTCTGCCAACCACCTCGATGCGGTCCGGGGCAAGCTGTCTCTGTGTGAGTGGATCGTGGACATCCTGACCTTCGGCTTTCCGGAAGTCGTTGCGAGAGAGCCAGGCTGAACGAGATCCGTGGACTGTCGGCCCCACAACGCACGCAGCCACGCAACAAGCCGTTGCACGGGCGATGCTGGCACCGCTCTGCGTCGAGTCAAAGCACCTTCCAGACCTCGATGGCATCCGCGATCGCATGACGCTGTTGGCCGTCGAGTCGGGGATGCCCGGCGGCGTTCAACCCCAGGCAGCAGCCATGGTGCTGTCCGCCCTGCAGGTGAGTTTGCTCCAGCCGCGACCGAGGGGCGTCCTTCTTGCGCAGCAGTCCCGCTCAAGTGCCGCTCTATTTATGCGTCATGGCCGGCCCTGTCCGTCTTCTTGCAGGACCACCTCCACAACGTCGCCACCAGCATCATCACCAAGATCCGAGCGAATCGTCCCAACGGCATCAGGACGATTGATCCGCAGCTGCCTGCGTCGCTGTCGCCGGTGAAGAACGCCGCATACGGGCGCGGAGCCTACACGACGTCGCCGGCGCACACCTCGATGGAGCTTGACGACAGCGCGGCGCCCTCGGAGCAGAACAGCCCGACCCGGCAACTGCGCGGCCTGCACTCGGATCTGTCGTCCCGCGCCAGCACGTCTGGCGTCGGCACATCGTTTGCAGACTCGTCGATGCTCTCGCTGGCCAGCACCGCCCCGACGAGCCTCACCGGTCCATCTTCGCCCTCGGTGCGCGACGGCGACAGTTCGCAGCTGCACGACTCCTCTTTCACCGCCAGCCAGGATGACGACGATGACGACCATCACCGGCAGGCCAACGGGATATCCGCCAAGAAGTCGCATCTGCACGCGCTCTCGTCGTCGTCTGCGCCGTCGACGCCCGTCGAGAACGGCACGGGTCGCCTGACGCTCGCCGACATGTCCTTCCTGCTGGAGCTGGCTCCGCACAGCGTCGTCGAACCCATGGGCCAGGGGACGCAGGAGCGCTTGCTTGCGCCCGACTGGGACGAGGACGCCATCCTGGCTTCGGCGGGCGACTACGATCGCCTGGTGGTGGAGACGGCCAAGCGGGCTGCCACGACCAAGATCTCGGACATCGGAGGCGAGGGCAAGGAGGCGGCCATGTCGTCTGGCGTGCGCGGGCGGTTTGTGATCGACCAGTCCGCCCCGCTGCGCCTCCTCGACCGCAAGGGGCTCGCCGAGAGCGCGGTGCGGCCGACAAAGAGTGGACTGTCGCTCTCCGGCACCAACGGCGCCGCCGCCGCCACGTCGGGCCTCTTCAAGGACAGCGCCGCAGGAAAGGGAGCGGGCGCGATAGGCGTGCTGCACGACGTCAACGGCCGCAAGTCGGCGAATAGAGACGCGCCGTCAGCATCGGCCGCGGCTGCTCTGGCGGCAGCCAAGGGTCGAGAGGAGCTCTGGGACGTTGTCGACCCCGTGGCGCTGTTTGAGTCGCTGTGCGAGTAGGGCCTGGATGGCGGCGACGGTCAATATCACGTTAGCAGAAGGTCACTCTGCCTTAGTTCTCTTCTAGCTCTCTACCCATAGGTGTCTAGCTGGCGAGCAGCCGTCTGCTGTGGCCATGACCACGTCGATGACATATTCGATTTTATCCCAGCCCCTCGTCGTCCGTCGCCTGCTGCTGGGTGGGAGCTCTCGCATGCCTTGCCTTGCCTTGCCTGGCCAGCGGAGAGGACCCGCGCCTGCCTCGCCGGACCTCGGGACCCGGAGGTCGATTTCCGGTTCCCCACGCTCCGCCACCGGTCACCGTCACCTCGACTCCCATCCTGCACTGCACACTCCATCTCGCTCGCGGCGAGGCTCGTACGCTCAGCTCTGCTGCGCCACCGTGCCGGTGATGACGGCCGCCCACCATGCCGCGCAGCAGCTCGGGTCCATCGCCTCGTCAGAAGGCGGCGAGAAAGACGGCGGCCGTCCAGCGCAGGGAGCTCGATGCCAAGCTGGCCGCCGCCGTCGCCGACCTGGAAGCCGGATGCTTCCCTAGCCTCAAGGCCTGCGCCGAGGCCCACGGCGTCGCCTCTTCCACGCTCCACGATCGTCACAGGGGCCGATTGCCGCACTCCAAGGCGCACACCGGCCGGCAGCGCCTCTCGCCCGCCTCCGAGGCCGTACTCGCTCGCCACGTCGAACGATGCGCCCAGCTCGGGTTCCCGCTAACGCCCGACGCGGTGCGCCGGTTGGCCGAGAAGCTCATGATCGAGGAGCCAGACAGCCAGTGCCGCTCGCTCGGTGCAAACTGGATCCAGGCCAGCTTCCTGCCGCGCCATCTCGACCTCGAGGCCCAGTACCGCCGGTGCATCGACTACGGACGCATCGGCCGGCCCAACGCCAACAACCTCGAATGGGTCACTGCCTTCTTTGACCTGTACCGCACCGCGATCAAGGACCACGGCATCAAGCGCGGCAACGTCTACTGCATGGGCGAGACCGGCACCGTCCTGGGCCGCGGCAAGGAGCAGAGGAGGATTCACGCGAGCAGGAGGGCACACCGGTTCCTGCGCCTGCCGGGCAAGCGCGACTCGACGAGCGTCGTCGAGTGCATCGGCGACGACGGCACCATGCTGCCGCCGCTCATCATTGTCGAGGGCAAGCTGCACCTCGACGCCAAGCAGCGAAAGTCGTTTGGCGCCGCGGCCGGCTGGACGTTTGGCGTGTCGAGCACCGGCTGGAGCTCAGTCGACGCCGCCCTGCTGTGGCTCGAAAAGGTGTTTGACCCGGCCACCAAGCCTCCCAAGGGGCGCAGCGGCGACTGGCGCCTCCTCCTCGTCGACGGCCACGCCATCTACACCAGCATCGAGTTCGTGAGCGCCTGTCTGGACCGGCGCATCGTCCCCGTCTCGTTTCCGCTGCAGACGACGCACGTCATCGACCCGCTCGACTGGTTCATCTTTGGACCCATCAGCGATCGCTACCACCGCGCCATCGACGGGCTCGAGCTCGAGCATGGTGGCGCCGGCGCCGGAGGAGGTGCCGGCGGCGGTGGTGGCGGTGAAGCGGTGACGAGCAAGATGGACAAGGCGACGTTTGCGAGGATCTACCGCGAGGCGCGGACCGTCGTCAGCGCCGAAGACGTGCGCAGGGCGTTTATCGAATGCGGCGTCTCGCTGCCGCCCGAGCCGGACAAGATCCTCACCCGCGCGCCCGCCCACCGCAACCACTCGAGCATCTCCACGCCGCCGCCCGGTGCGGTGCCGCCCAGGGACATTGCCACTCCCAAGACGTCGGCCGAGTTTCGTGACATGCTCGCTATGCTCTCAGCCGTCGTCCGCGGCGGCCATGGCGGTGAGGGCAGCAGTGGCGGCGACAACGAGGCCCAGGCGGCGCTGCTCAGGCAGAAGCTGCTGAAGTCGTACGTCGACCTCGTCGAGAGTTCGGCGGCGCGAGAGCAGGCTGCTGGGAGCGATTCGGATGTATCGGAGCACGAGGCGGACACGCCGACGGATGACGAGGACGAGGACGAGGACAGGGACATGACACCCGCCCCGTCGAACCGCCGGGAAGCGGGCGGGACGGTGGCCATGGCCCAGCAGGGCGGGCTGGACGGGCGCGATCAGTCTCGACAGTTCCGCGGCGCGGAGCAGATCTACTCTTCCCACCCACAGGCACAGGCACAGCCGCAGCCGCATCCGCCGGACCATGAGACGACGACGACGCCTATCTACCACCCGACGACGACGACGAATCCATTCATCGAAATGACGACGGGACACACCTCGACAGGTCCCCACCCCCTACGCCAGTACCAGCACCACCACCACCACCACCACCAGCAGCAGCAGCAGCAGCAGCAGCAGCAGCACTCGGACATCGTCATGGGATCGGCGTGCCAAACTCTCGGTCCCACTCGCACCTCGACGTCAACTTCGACTTCGACTTTGGCGTCATCGTACGACATGTCGACGCCCCTCGTCTTTTCGGATGCGTACGGAGGTCGATTCTTTTGAATCCCCACAGCTCTCCACCCCTCCCGGCACTTTGGGCATCGTAGCTGGTCGCGACACGAGGAAAGCAATGTGATGGCGATCGGGTTTTGTTTCTGTTGAGGAGATACGAGGCGCGCGCGATTCGTACCGCTTGATTCGCTGCGCGAGCCTTGCTGGTGTCAGACTTGTGGTTTGAGAGCAATATGGATAGATGGGGATGACCCCATCACTACGTCGGGCCATCTCGCTCGTCAAACCCCGCAGAGCGGCGCCGTCGATTCCGGTTCTGTCCCCTTCTCCCGACGAAACACAGCCGAGACGCCCACGCACACGTCGTTTTCGCGCAAACCAGATCGTTGACAGCCTCGGATGATGATGGATTCGAACGACAGGGAAACCTCTATGTGCAAAGCGAAGTGACAAGCACCGAATCTACAGCCCTGCGACGGCGTCCTCGGCCATCTGTACAATCTGCGCCATCGTCCAAACCTTGAGCAGTCCGCTCCGCACCGCCTCGTCGTGCTCGATGGGCGGGCCAACCTGCCTCCTCCCGCCGCGCTCGGACTCGTCGAAGGGACCCTCGGCGACGACAACCTGCGAGGGCGCGCCTCCTGCCGCCTGGCCCGGCAGCTGGACCTCGACGAAGCTGTACGAGGGCTCAGCAACGCCCTTGATGCGGAGGATCACATCGCCCGGCGAAGTGCTTCGACGATGACGATCCTCTCCGAGCGAGCCGAGGGCCAGTTCGACCGTCTTGAAGTCGAAGCCCAGCCCCTTGCCAATGTTCTTGGTAAAGGCCTCCTTGTGCGTCCAGAGATCAAAGAGGCGAGACAGCGCCTCGGCCTCTCCTACCTCCCTGCTGCGTGGTCCTGGCGAGAGGGGGGCGAGCACCCACCGGCGCTCGTCGGGCGAGAGCGCCATGTCCATCGTCTCAGCAAAGGACCGCGCGTCCTGCTCGAACTTGGGAAGCGCGATCTGCATCACGTCGACACCGACGCGCAGCATGGACTGCGAGACGGGCGCGCTGCCCAGCAGCGAGGTGGCCCGATCGGACGCAACGGCCGGCGGCGTCGCATCCTTTGCCGCAGAGCGCTCCGACGGGGTACGCGTCGGAGCGTGGAAGGCCAGGACGACCCAGTCCGAGTCATGGCTGATGTTGAAGTCGGTTGCGCCGGCCAGCGAGGGCGCCTCGAGGTATGGGCGCCCTTCCCGCGTCGCTGCGAAGCGCATCTCGTCCCATCTGACGCCGTAGTGCCGCGCAAACATGAGCCGCGGCAGCAGCCTGGCCGCCAGCGACCGCGTCCGGTCCACCTGGCGGTAGTACTTGCGTATCTTTTCGCGATCGCCCGCCGCAATCGAACCAGGAAGCAGCTGGTCGACAAGGCTCGAGAATCGATCCGCGTCCGGTTCCCATCCGGACACATCAATGGCCCAGACCTGCAGTCCGCCGCACGCGGGAGAGGAGGTCGTGGCAGGGTCAGCTTCGGTGTTGCCGCTGGCTTTACTCGGAGGCCCGAGGCCGGGCGCAGAGGACGCGTCAAGAGACTGACCATCGGATGCTCGGCTGCTCGAGCCGCCGTCGCCAGAGGTGGCCCCGCCGCTGCCGCCATTCTGTGCGCCGGTCGAAGTGACGGGCGCTCCGATCGCAGAGGCAGTGGCGACAGTGGCCGACTGGATCGACCGGCTCGTCGTCTTGCCGGCGGCGATCAGGGCATCGGTCGTGTTCACTCGGCAGTCCTTGAGGAAGGTGACGAGGTCGGTTCCGCCGGTGCCTTTGGCGCCCTTCTGAGAGCTGTCGGCCGCATCGAGCACGTCGTCGCCCTGGGCCGCCTGCTTGGCCTTGGCAGCGCTCCTCGACACCGCGTCCTCGACGCCCATGACGCCGGTGAAGCCCTTGGGCAGCGGAGCAAACTCGTCTGGAGGCGAGCCGCGAGCCTGTGCGATGATGTACAGGTAGGCGACCCTCATGTGACCATCGCGCAGCGCCTTGAGCGCATTGAGCGCGTTGTCGTACGCGGAGGGGAGCCCTTCCTCGTGGCCGTCCTCCTGCGCCTTGAGCGCCAGCGAGCGGATTGGGTGCGACATGACCGGCGGAGGGCGCTCGACGGCGTGCGCCTCGATGTCGTCCGCGACGTCGTCTTCGCTCTGGCTCTGCTGGGAAGCCGCGAGGTTGGCGAGCCGCGCTTCGTCGGCCTTGTCGTCATCTTCGTCGTCAAACGAAATGCTGCGAAGGTGGGTGAGGAAGTTGCGGTGGTGCCCGGGCATGTAAAGCTGCATGCGCTCCATGAAGGTCGCGTCGGCACCCCTGCTATCGCCACGAATCGCCTCGGACTCGTTGGCCGCCGAGGCCGGAGAGACTGCGGGCCGGCTCTGCCTCGGCTTGGACCGAGTGTGGTCGACGTCGAGGAAGACGTCGATCGCGTGGATCAGCGAGCTCTGGCCCGCCGATGGGCCGGAGAAGGAGCGGCGCACGCCGGGTGAATCGACGCCCTCAAAGTGCCACCCGGGCTCCTCGCCGCCTTCGGCCGCGTCGCTGCCGCGGAACCAAGGCCGGATGCCCCAGTAGAAGACCTTGGGATCGCAGTCGGTACGGACGTCGTGGAGCAGCTGGGTGAGGTCGGCGATGACGACGGCGAGCCTGTTGAGGTAGGCGGCTATCCTGCGCCTCGAGAGCCTGTCGCCGACGAAGGCCTCGTCGAGACTGACCCGCATCAGCTCGAGCGCTTCGACACCGCGGATCTCGATGAGGGCCGAGGTGAGGTAGAAGTGCTCCTCGGACTTGGTGTTGGTGAACGTCTCGAGCATGCGGATGTTGTCGAGCGCGAGACCCTTGGCCGGGTCGATGTAGGCCCAGTTCCAGAGCACCGTGGTGGCGTAGGTGAGGATGGGCGGCAGCGCGAGCTTCTGCGAGAGCTGGACCCAAGGCACGGCGATCGCGGCTGGGAGGGTGCGGCTGAACTTGCCCTCGAGCTCGTCAGCGACGTCCTGCTCGTCGTCGATCTGCTGCTGCGACTTGCGCGAGAAGTAGCCGCGCCACGACGATGCAGCGGCCTTGGCGGCCTGCGGGGCGGGCGGCGGCTGGCTGTGGATGTAGAAGTGGGCGAGGAAGGAGAGGACGAGGTGACCGCGGCGGGCGTATCGGATGTCGGTGGCGACCTCTTCCGACAGAGACAGGACGGGCATCTCGCGGATCGAGCGCCTCCAGCGTCGCGCCTCGAGACGCTGCTGGGAGGTGATGCGGACGCCGCCGCCGCCCTGCATGAGCGGGATCGACTTTGCCTGGTCGAGGGCGACCTCCCAAAGCTGCTCGTGCTTGCCCCTGAGCCTGATGACGGGCGCCTCAGGAGGAAGAAAGCCTGAGCGGACGTCGATGTCGAAGTCTGCGGCGGCGAGGGTCGAGGTGTCTGGCATCTCCTCGTGCGCCTCGGCAAACGTTGCGGGGGTGGGGATGACATCCTGGAACGAGCGCTGCGATGCTGCTGCGAGGGTGGCGGTCGGGGCGGGGACGACAGGCAGGCCAGACTGGATGGCCGTTGCAAGCTCGGCGAGGGGCTGGATGTGGGTGGCGGAGCTGGGATCCGAGGAGCGGCTGTCGGTGGAGGCGACGGAGCTGCGGCGCTGGTGGGCGTCGGCGGCGGGGGCAGGGGCAGGGGCTGCGACGGCCTTTTGGGGACCGCGTTGCTGTGCGAGGAAGTGGTCTGGAGGGATCTCGTAGTACTCTGCCTCTTCGTGTGTCTCTGGCCACTGTGGGTAGAAGGTCTTGGCGCGAGATGGGGACGAGGGCCCAGCGACGGCATTGGTGCGGGACGACGAAGGGCCGGGCATGGCGCTGTCGAAGTCGGCGGGGTATGATGCGCTGCCTGATGGGGACGACATGGCGGTAGTGGTGGTGCTGACGGTGCTAGTGCAGGTGATGGCTGCGGGAGGGACAGGGGGCAGCGGGTGTTGGCCGAGTCTGGTGCTGGTGCTGGTGCTGTAGAGTGCGGGGGCGATGTCGGAGGCGTTGGGTTGGGGTGACCGGAGAGGTGGCTCTATATAACGAAGCGGGTAGCGCTGTGGGCGTGGACCGACGAGCAGCCAGGCAGGGACCCTGTTTCACGGCGTGAGAGTGTAACGGAGGGTGAATCAGGGCAGGGCCGCCGAGAACGGGTGTCGTCGCGGCGGAGGGTCGTGATGCGCCAAGGAAGCGTGGGGCGTGCCGGAGTGCAAGGCGGGTCAAGAGTCGTTGTTTGCGTTGCTGGGCCAGCCAGGCAGAACAGTAGGGTGCGGTCGAGTCCTGGTGGATGGTGCTTCAGAAAAAGGGGGGGCCCATGAAGTGGTGATGATGTGGTGGTGGTGAGGGATGGGGCAACTCGCGCCTGTTTGGGGAGGCTATATGATGGAGGCCGAAGCTGACCGAGAGTAGGCGGCGTTTGCCGCGTGGAAGAAGCAAGGCGGCGGGGCGTGGGCCAAAGGGGCCTGGCCTGGCCAGATCGGTCCGCCACCAGCCCGCGCCCGCGCCCGCGACCTCGCCCCGCCTGCTTTCCAAATTTCCCCGGCAATTTCGAGCCTCGTTTGTGCTGCTTCTTCTTGTCGGCCTCGGCCTCGATCTAGCCAGGTGAGGCCAGGCCAGGCCTGCCAGGCCAGATGAGCTCGCCGGCCCGCCTGTCAGGCGCCTCGGCTCCGAGTCGATTATCACGTCACCCTCTCCAGCCTCGCCACATTGGGCTGAGCTGAGATGATGAGGTCCATCTGGGCCCTCGTTGGTCAACACCGTACCAAGTCGCCCTCTGCTCCACTTTGGACAACATCGACGAGTAGTAGTGTCAATCAGCGAGCGAGTGACAGAACCACATTCAGCAGGCAGCCATCACCGCCTTATGATGATGGGCTGCTCAGCCGTGCAGGCCACACGAATTCGGAGCCGGCTCCTGGCCGGCACAGCCTATAGGTCCAACCCCGGACTTGCGGGCCCCAGCAGCGACTCTGGGGCCAGCCAGCAAGGCCGCGTGGAGGCTCGGCGGGCGGTCGGGCGGGCGGGTGTGGTTGCGTGTTGATCTGGATTCTGGATCAGCTGGGCGCTCGCTCGCCCCCGCCGCCCGCCGCCCGATGCAGCGCAGCCGCGCTTGCAACCAGAAAGGGGCCCGCCGCCTGCCACGCCCTCGCCA